AAACCAGTTTGCCTAGCAACCAGGTAAATCCATAGTTAACGCATTATACTGTTAAGTCAAACACATTGAAAAGACGTATGTGGCTAAAGAAGTGGCTCTGAGAATATTTCGATTGATAACACCTCCTGTGAATCCATCGAAAAACCTGCTCAACATTCTAACGCAACAATGTCTGCAATAAAAGGATGTCCGAAAGGCGGAGTTTTGTCACTTCTGCTGTGGTCACTTGTTATTGACGACCTGATAGTTAAACTTAGTGATGCCGGCTTCTACGTTCTAGGCTATGCATTTGACTTGGTAGTATTAATTAGGGGCAAACATGAAAATGTGATCTTTAGCTTAGCACAAATTGCCCTGAATATTATCACAAAATGGTGCTCACAAAAAGTGCTTAGCGTGAACCCGCAATCCCCGCGAAGAGAGGGAGCTGGCGCCCGAGCACCGCCGGTCCCAACTTAAGGCGCCACCCCCGGTAGCGTGAAGGTGACCTTAGTCAGCGAGACCTGTTTGTTCTCAGCGGCACTAGTCGGTCCAGGGGCGGGCGGGCACTGAAGCGCATCACCCTCACGAGATATCGGCGAAATTCCGAACCGTCACCGTCCGCCCCCGGGTTTTCGTCGCAACATGGTAGGTCACGTTAAGATACTGTTGAGAGTTGAGTTTGATTTCGGGTCGACCATTGAAGTGGCGATAATTCTCCACCATGAGGTCGAACCGTTTCTAACGCAACTACCAGAACTTGCACTCGTTTAGTATACAGACGGATCAAAATTGGAGCAATGGAGTGGGATAGGGATATATGGTCCTAAATGCAGGATTTTCTTACCTTTATGTAACACCCCTACAATTCTACAAGTAGAAATTTTTGCTGTAAATCTCTGCGCTAAAAAAGACCTCTCAAAAGCGCTGAGATTTATATAATGTCGAACTGGAACTGTAAACAATTTCTTAACCAACTGGCGAGCAAAAGCAGGGTTACTCTGTTGAAGTAATGAATATTTCATAATTTTCTGTTTATTTTTTTCATAATTGTTCATTTCTTTCATTTCAACACACCTAGCTACATCTAGCGGTAAGTCGTAATAAGTTCATGATGCGCACGCAGTCCCTGCCAAAAAATGATGACGTGTGTTAATAACGTAAGATCAAGCGGGGCGCACGCGGTACTGTAAGAACTTTCCTTTTCCTTTTGTACGTTTCCTTTTCGTAGAATAAAACCTAAGGGAAATTGTTTATACTGGTTTTATTGTTTCACTGCAAGTTTAACATACTCTGTGTTGGATGCCATGATATGAGGAAATAACTAGAAGGAAACGAAATAGCGGATAACCTTGCTAAAAAATATACGAAGGCTCCCTTTATTGGTCCAGCTATTCTGGGCTAACGAAAACATGAGCTGATACTGATAACAGATCTCTTTACAGGCCCTGTACGAAACCATTTCGTAAAAAAGCGCAAAACCGAGGTTAGGACGTGTCGAGTGTGTGCATCTGTTGTTGAAGCATCTCGCAAAAGGGTGGAATATTTGGGAAGGGCGATACTAACGTACTCTCAAGTAATTGAGGCAACTCCTAAGAACTTATCTACCTTTGCTTGCGAGGTATACTAGATGCAAACATTTTGTGCGTTTATGGCTTCACACCAATTTAACTTCCAATACAATTCAATAGGCCGTCACACCCTCTTACTGACAATAATCTACCTGAAAAGACGTTTTCTGGTAAAAGCACAGGGCAGTACTGTCTCGGCCGTCCCTGACACGTGCCATGGTTTGCATTTGCTAAGTTTTATGAAGGGTCGGTTGTAAAGTACTTTAAACGTCAAAGCCATAAACGCACAAAATGTTTGCGTCTAGTGTAGCTAAATTTCTTAGGTTCGTACTAGAAAGGTTTCGCACAAAAGATTAGACTTGGTCCTAGTGTGAAAACGTGCGTAGCCTTAAATAGACCCCCCTGAAATCTACAGTCTACAATCTCCTGTCCACTGTAATAACCCAAACATTCCACCAAAATTGAGACATGCGCACAAAATTTGAAAACCCGCGAAAAATCGAAAAGTGGCCATGAACTGTGATCGTCATCAAAATGGGGACCCTACGCTGTGTTTTGAATGGCGGAATGCGTTTGGATGCAAGTGGTGAACCGCAAAGGTGGACGAGTGACCTTGAAATTAACAACACAAAAATATGGCGGGAATAATTTTATTAAGTTCTTTCCTTTTTGTTACTTGTGTTTTTTTTTCACTATTTCTAGTTATAAAAATCTCGTTCTTTTCAAGTTCAAAATTTACAAATTGCAGCTACAGCCTGTTCTTAAAAGTATACAATGCTCTAGTTTGCAAATTCATGTCTAAGGGAAATGGAAAGCAATGCTCAAATTATTATGATGGCTGTTTCTTTGCACCACCACAGCTACGTACAACCAAGCCGCGATGGCCCCACAAACGCCACGCTGTCTCCATGCTATGTTCGCCGGCCCCTGAGGCAGCTGCTTCAAGTACTATCCCGTAACTTTCTACATCCACCGCGTGACACAGGACATTGGCTACCCCCAGTAAAGTTTCCTTTACCAGTAGGCCACCCTCCACATATCTTGTGTTGGCGGCATCCGATATTGCGAATAAACAGTCATATGTACGACAAAAAAAATTGTCAGTCTTGACTTGGCCGAAGTAGCCAACCGAATTCAATTAAACAAAATTGATGAAACAAGAGTACATCATGAATCGAATTCCCCAACACATAAATATATAAAACACATGTTAAATGTGGTCAAAAACATAAAATATCATTTGGTTTTTTTGTACATCGCTCTGAGAGGTACTTTCGAAAACCAATGTTCCAAATTTGAAATCATAAAACATATAAAACATAACACAAAATCAGCATAAAGTCCTCTTTGCCCTTTCTTTAAAATTTAAATCTTGAATACTGCCAAAAACTATGTTAGAAATCCAAAGGTGAATCTATTTAAATTGAAATAATAATTCAAGAAGAACCATCCATTCCCTGAGACATTTCACAATCTAAACGTTATAAAATGTTGCATTTAAACATTTCTGGTATAATATTGTTTTTTTTTTGTCGTCACCCAAGAAAATAAAATGTATAATTCGCAGCGACTTCGTGAAATTAAATAACAATTTTATCGCTTTTAACAAGTTCGAACGCGGTCCGGGAAAACCAGCCAGCTGCCCAGCCAACGCTAGTGTAAACTCAATGACGCAATGTGTCGAATTGCAGAATGACCAGACGCCGTCGTCGCAACACGTAAGATCGACGAATTATCATTTAAAAATCATGTTAAACTTTACTTACACATGGGGGTAACGATGGTATCCCTCCAATCTACTGACAATTGGCCCTTCGGTCAAATTTTACAAATAAATGAAACATATAAATCTGAAACACGCTACTAATGCTGGAATAAATCTGAAGCCACAGTCGCGCTCATCAAGAAAAATGCAAATCTACATTACAGAAAAAATATCATTCTTTGTGGCGCTAAATTTAACTTGAACCGGGACACTACACCACTAATCAAATCATTTCAATAGTCCACACGTAAGACACATTCTTTACCCAAATATGGACATAATTTATTGTACATTGATCAAATCATTTCAACCCTCCACACGCAAGACACATTCTTTATCCAAATTTACTATACAACTAGAAGTGGACGGTTGAAATGATTTGGTAAGTATGGATAGAATGTATTGACCACCAATCGTATCGCTTCGATTGCAATTAAAATTTGAATAGTCCATGGGAAGCACCGGCATTTAATAATGTCAAGTCCGACCATTTTATTTATGACCTGTCTGACCTAAAACTGACAAATCCTGGGAAACGAGTTCTTTTTCCGGTCTCACGAACCAAAACTCCTATAAATAGGAAAAGGCATTAGATCTACTCAGTATTTGAGTTCAGCTGATTCAACCGTTTGCTTGGCCTATCAAGCTCCACTTTGGTTACGATACCCAGCTTCTGCCCCAAGAACTTCCTCAAACCACCGTTGTTACATGGTCGAAATACCACTCTGTTGAGGTTTCCCCGACCTTCCACTCAGCTGTCTGATGGCTCTGATAGCGTCAGTTATCACTAGCTTAATTAAATATGCGTGTGCGCAATATTCTGCCCTCGCAATGGCGGTATTTAATCGGTTGTATTCGGAAACCCTATCCAATACGAACGGCTAGATTAACTCCATAGTCCCCCTCGATCTTCCAAGATTCCTTCAAATCATGTACCGCGACTTAGGAAACCCTCAACAACCCGCTGCTCGATTATATAGATACATACAATGATGTTCTCTTTTAATCTAGCTTAACGTTTTTGTTTATTGTCATTCAGTGTTCTCTTTAATCATCCATACACCACAATACCCACAAGATAAAGCGTCGCTTAAGTATGATGCCCTCGACGTGTCAGTTCAGATGGAGCCTAAAGGAGCACATAATCTTCTCGTCCCTACACGGGTAAAGATAACTCAAAATCTCCCAATCGTGCTGTTCCGGTTCGGTGGACCAACACAAGTTGTGAGAATCTGTCACTCTACATCTGTTCCCGGACCTTCACAAGCTCTTCATGGCTCTGAATACTTGAAGAATGGTATGCCAGCTATACGTTAGAGATTTTGTGTGATAGAACAACCATTTAGACAGTTAACCAACATGTGTCATCAGGTAATAGAGTCTGTACGCAACTCAATGTCACGAAGATTTCAAATTGAAATCACTATGATAAAATAGTACTGAGAAGGATAACTTGGAAGACATATTGATTCGCTATGATGATTTGACAATAGGGAAACCTTTAAGAAATATTTAAGAACTCCAAGGAAGTGATCAGCTGGATACGAAGCGTCACTTATTACAAAAAGAAGAACTATTGGCAGCGAACGGAAGCAAAAAGCAATGAATTTCAATTGGACTACTGAATGTGAAATAACTTTCCTTTGGAGTCACCATTTTTTCTCTTTAATAAATAAGAGGCAAAATCACTTACAACCCTAAATATATTTTTAAAGCTATGTTCACACAAATCCTTCTACAAATCTTTCCTCATCTTGCACAAATTCTGCAACGGTAACATCTTAATATCGTTTTTCATCTTCACCACACCTTCATGAAGATCGATCGATAGCAATTCACCAGTGGCTTCTCGTTCTTCACCGATGATAACCTTGAAAGCATCGCCTCTTTGTGGCCTCACCGGCTCCAAGTGATCAGAAATAATATTCACGACTCTATCCTCCTCCGGGAGGAAAATGGAGCACATCGCTCCCGAAATACTCCTGATTATGCCTGTCTGTCCGACTAATCCTGGATCGTCGTGACTGTCCCTGATGCGCACTTCTATATCGATAGTGTGCCAGTCCGTCATAGGTAAAACGTCAAGCCCAGCGCCCGGAGTTTGCGGGTTGTAGGGCATATTAGGGCTATAACCTGAGCTCGGTGTGTTGTATGGGTTGTTGCTCGCAGGCGATTGGCCGTAGCCTGTCGCGGGGCTGGGAGTAGAAATGGCGCCTGTAATCAATCGGTAAATCACACTTTAAAGCTTGCGTGGGTAAATAGTACTTACTTTGATAACCTGGGCTGGCTTGGTACGGACTGTACGTGGAATCGTACACCGTCCCTGGCGTCTGCGGCGTGAAAGGTCCGTTCATTTGATAACCTGGCGTTCCTGGATTGTACCCAGGAGATGGGTATGTGTTCGACACCGTCGGGTCCCATTCAGAGGAAGCGTTGGGTGTTCTTGACCCATCATGGATTGGTGTCATGGATCCACCATAATGCAGCGGTGTACGTGAACCAGAATCACACATAGGTGTTTTATTCCCTGTGTCACGATACAATGGCGTCTGACTGCCTGTGTACGCTGGTGTTCTGCCGTAACTAGAGATGCTTCCATCTCTACTCGGGGTACCAACATCTGCTATGTGATTTCTATCCACACTGATCGTCTGGCACGACGTATGCAGTTCAATACGTGCCGTTGACTGAGTTGCATCCTTAACAATACCGATATTTCCTTTATACGGACCCTTGGTGATTTTGATGGTCGTCCCGATGATGTCCCTGTCCCGCGACACTCTACCTCTGCCGCCGCCGCCTCCTCCTCCTCCTCCCCCACCGGGTCTGGGGCTAGAGAAGCCGCCCATGCCGCCCCCGCTTGATGGGTGCATGGGCGAACTGCGTCTCGGCGACATGTACTCCATTCCTGTTGAGATGTCGGCGGCGGGGACGCTCTTATTGCCTCCGGCCAACTGCAAATGTTTAGTTTTGCACACGAAAATACCGCCGTTTTGGAGGAACTCCACGGAATGCAGAAATGCGAAGTTTCTGTAAAGGTGTTTGATTTCTCCGGAAAAACCCGAGTGAGGGCCGTCGATCACCTTGACCATGTCTTTGCGGCGGAGGTTGTTTCGGTAGGAATCGAGAGCGGCGGTGAAGCGATTGAGGCGGCGTTTCTGGAGAGAACCGGGGCGGCATTCTACTACTTTGCCTGCAAAAATTACACTAATGGATTGATGTTCAAAATCAGAAGTAATGTAAAGTTTATTTCGGTTAAGTCCTACAAATTCCACTTCTTTGAATAAATATGAAATTAGATTTTGCGATAACTTCTATAAAGTAAAAACTAGCGGCATAAATACCCCCCCCCCCCCCCCCCACCCCCACCCCTGCGCCGTGGGAGCGCAAATTCCCCTTTTTTCCTTTTATGAATAAGAGTTAGTTGGAAAATTTGCTACTCACCGTGCATGTTCAACACATGGAAATTCTCCCTTTCCAATCGAACAATGACTCCCACCGTCTCGGCGTCCAAGTTCACAAGATCGCCCCATTCGAACTTCCCCAAGGAATCCACCCCACTCGCCATATCCGTGCACAGCTGCAAATCCTTTGGTAAAATCTCCATCTCGTGCATCGTCAAGTCCGAGATCAACACGACTCGGTTATTCTCGACCCTCACGACCAAACCTGTGTCGCCTTCGTAACGACCTATCAACAAAAATCCACTTAGCAACAACCAAAACCCTCAAAATTATTACTCACCAGCTAGAACTTTAACATGGTCGCCCATTTTAAAGTACTTTTTCAGCTCAGAAGCTTGAAATACTAGCGGATCCTTAAGATCTTCGTGCTTCGGCATTATCGTGATCATTGCTCCGTCAATGCTGATAATTTTACCCTGGAGATTAATCAATTCGCCTTCGCACACTTCCACATTGTCGCCGGCGCTGAAGGAGTGTGTTACAGCTTTATCTTCTTTTTCCGTTGGCAATTCCAAATCGATGCCTTCAGGTTGTTCCTCAAAGCGTTCCAACTCGGCGAGTGTGGGCTTAACACCGTCGATTATGACAGCGCTGAGGGTAAAGTTCTTGTAGAGAAAACCCTTCCGGGAGTAGCGATTGCCTTCAAAGATGAGAAAATCACCATCTGAGGTGACTTCGCCACCAATTGAACGAATCGCCTCTGGATCAAAGGGTTTGCTGGGAGGGCGGCGCTTCTTTTTCCGCTTTTCGGCTTCCGATTCCTACAAAAAAATTGAATTTTAGCACAGTCCGAGATATATTAAATGTAAATTTACCGATTGCGTTGTTCTTAACGCCCCTCTCAACCTGGTGTAGTCAATACGCGGCAAAAGTTTCAAGTGTACTTGATTCTGGGCCATGTCAAAGTAGTCCACTTGGGCTATGTCATCTTTGTAAAGACCACGTTTCAGACGAACCCACTGTTTTGACTTAAGTCCTGTTTGTTCCTTAACTACCCTCAGTACATCAGTCATTTCTTTAATGGGTACCATCTGTTGTTTCCAAATTCCCATTCTTAAATTTCCTACGTTCTCGATCGCAGCTTTTACGTGGGGTTGTTTGTACGCCTCAATGTAAATGTAACCTTTGACTCCCTCAGGTGCCACAACTGACTTAATTTGGAGCGGTTCGTTCGTATTTTGGTATGCCAAAAATTTACGCATAAGTAGCAAAGCGGTGGCTTTTTCTTCGCCGATTCGACACTTGACCATCCATAAGTTGGGATCTTTAACACCAGGGAGGAGAGTTTGCTGGGTAATTTCATCGGACATTTCTTCGCCTCCATCACCAAAGTGTTTAGCAGCAGCACTGTCGTCGGCGTATTTTTTTCTCAAATACTCCTCGATCTCGTGCTCCTTCTGGGCACTAAAATAACAATAAATTATTACAATGATTGTTATTGTTAAATTAATGAATAATAAAAAATGTTGATACGGATTATTAAAGTTACAACTTAATTGTTACTTATTCAACTGTCAATTTTAAATTTGATTATGACTATGCTTGTTAAATACTGAAATAATAATTGTTTACTTCAGTGCTTTGAATTGTACTTCCCAGAAATGTGTTACAGTTTTTGTTACATTTTCTAACCTTACATTAAAAACAACTTAACTTAATATAATATATTTCCATGACCTAAGTTTGTTTAAAAACATCCCGAGTGGTGACATAATTGCATAAAATTAATTGAATAAATTTAGAAAAGTGGCAAAACCGTGATATATCGAAGAAAATAAATAAATAAAAAAACTACTTACTCCCAAAGGTTTGTCCCACGCCTTCTCCCCTCAATCTCTCTAGCAGTTGGCCCAAATTCATCCACTTCATTCGGCACAATCCCGATCTCCTGCGCCCCTTCTTCCCACTCATCCTCGTCTTCCACTTCATCATCGACTTCGGCCTCATCGATAATAAAGCCCCCATATCTATCCTTCTTCTTTTTCTTCTTCGCACGACCAGAATCACTTTCGTCATCTTCTTCACTATCGTACTCTTCCAAAGAGTCACCTTCTGGTTCCTGCTCGTCCTCTACTTCTTCAGGTTCAGAAGCCTCGCGTGCCTCGGACCTGTATCACCAAAAGCAATAAATATCGCATTCCAAAGTTAACGTTTGCGTTAAACTTACCCTGAGCGTGCCGACCGACTTCCAGATTTGGACCTAGATCTGGATCTAGACCTCGATGGAGATCTGGAACGGGACCTGCTGCCTCTGGAACTCCGAGATCGCACGGAACCGGCGTCCGAAGCGTTCTCATTGTCGGAAAAGTTGCTTGCTTCGGAGTCAGACATTGCACCACTTCACTGGAACAGCCACGTTCAACTTTCGATTGCTGAGAATCGCAAGAATAAACTAACTACTTCGACACCTGAACTAAACTGATTAAAGGTTGATGAAGCGCAAATGGTTTTGTTGACAAGAATGGCAGATGACAGTTTGCGTGCGCATGCGCAGAACTAAAGACGGACATTGGCGGTGAAAAGGGGGAGTGGACTATTTTCCCCCCTCAAAGCATTTTCGTTTTGATAAATATGCAACCAGTTAAATCCGTAATAAATAAATAATAAAGAAAACGTTTTATTTATTTTTTTGTCATTCTATGTAAATAATTCTAAAGAATATAAATTTATGTTACATCTTATTCCATATACATACCTTACCTTATTTGATAAACTTTTGTTTAATAATAATCGTTTTAGATGATGTCAGCAGTTTTCTGGACGGGGTCAACAGACAAATTTTAATCGATGTATCAAGGAGTCCGTTATACACAGTGATGTAAAATAATAAACTTTTTAAATATATTACGTTTTTATTTTGCATGGTATGTCGTAATTTCCAAATTTTTATAACCATAACTCGCGTTTTTTTGAGATAATGGTAGTAGATAGTTGCGAAATTTTAGGTGTAATTTATGAATATCGTGTAGATAGTAAAACGATAACCAAAATATGTCATCGCCATCAAGAATTTAATGACGCAACCTCAAAATTTTGCTAAGTAAATTCTATTAACGCACAAAATACGGTCCTTTATACTCATGATATGATTTATTACTTTGTCCCATGAAGGTATAATGTATAGTCTATTCGTTAGGAATTAGGATATACCTAGCAAATAGACAGACCTAAACTTTTTTAACCCACCTATTATGAGGTATGTACGAGAAATATTTATAATAATCCTGTATAATAACGTTCAGATAAGAACTCTTTGGCCAAGAATTCAACTATTGTTACCTGCGGATTATGATTTATCCGAATTTGGAGTATTGCAGAAGAGAAAAAAACTTACTTTACCCTGAATTTAGAAGAAATGTTTGTATTTTTATTTATTTCTCAATAAGTATGTCCATTTCATTGATGTTTCTGATGGGCCGACCAATTTATTTTTTCTTATTTTTATTAGGTTTTGCTTTTCGAAAGCTGGTTTTCATATTTTTTCAACTTTTCTGTAGTAAACTTACTAATGGGATGTTATAATTCTTTTTGTGCAGCTAATTACCGGCTCAAGCCCAGCGTAGTAGCGTCATAAATCAAATATTTGTCTCAGTATCTTACTAAAGTACTACGAAAGATAATTGCAAACGCCGTCAATTACTTTATGATGGGTCTTTAGTACTTTGGACCGCAACCTGCAATAAAACAATTACAAACACTTCGCAACGGAGGTACGACTTCAGCCAGGGCCGGTCTTCAAATTTCGGAGCGTTCATATATGAATCATGGTACTTAGAGTTAATTTTTATTGGGATTTTTTGGAAACATGTATTTGCAAATATTTAAAAAGTTTTAAGAACCACACTTTGTGTCCTTAAATTTTAAGATTAAATTCCTTGAAAGCGGTCCGTTTAACAGTCTACCTGTTCATGTATTAACACAAATACGGTCCTGAAAAGGTAAGGGTGGCAAGTAATGTTGATTGACAGTTTTATGCTGGGTGCACTTTCCGAAGTGATAGGAAATTGTACAGCTGCAATTCCCATAATTGGAGTCATTTGCAAATATCTTTCGTCGTACAATACGTACTGCAGGGTAATCCGCTTAAACATTGTTGGTACATTAAACCAAATACAATAATTTGTTTATGTATCGAAATATACCCAATCTTCTCAATCCTCTCTGAAATGGATGACAGTCGGCAGCAGGTAAAGTTTGTCCAGAATTATAAGAATTTTATGGACTCCCAACGTTAATGTGTTTCACAGCTCAGGCGTCAATTCTATTGTACAGATAAAGAGCCTGTCAGGGGAAAGCCGATCATTTCTGTACCTGAGTTCGCCCCGCTCTTCAGCTAAACAATAAAACTGACAACAGGGCTGTAAAATTGAATGAACTTTGGGAGTCCATAAAATTCTTATAATTCTAGACAAACTTTACAGTCGCAAACATTTACAGCTGTGGGTTTGCCTTATTAACTATTTTGTCACTTTCATTTTTTTTTTGGTTAATTGTGGATTTCCACTACAATAACTGCGTTTGCAGTTTTCCTTATTTTCAGTTTTTAATCATCTCTAATCAAAAAAAATTGGTCGAAAGTTGTTTCGACAGAACTTCCTTCGCCCCTGAAGTACAATGAAACATATCCAGCATTTACGAGATGAGTTTTTTCTTTACACAATTTTGTGATGACGTCATCGACATTTTTGCAAACACACGTATATCAACCTCCATTGGTGCAGTCTAATAGTAAAAATAACAGTATTGTATTCCTAAAATTTTCTGGGAAAATAGAAAATGTTCCTAATTTAATGAATAAAATAAATTGACTCAGTCATTAATGCTCTAACTCTCTAAGTTGTAACCACAAACATACAATAGGATTTTCTCTTTAGACACTGCCGCAACCGGTGGGCCTAAATTGAGTACCAGCAGGTCGTTAATCCGATCCATAAATTGCCGACCGACTAAGGAAGTAGTACCTTATGCCGCAGGGGTCGTCGGCGGGTAGATAAGGTATCTACCTGGGATGAGTACCCACATCGGCTACAAACACTATCTAATGATATTATTTATTATTATATCTACAATCTTCTCAAGAATAAAAATAGAAAAAAAAATTGGTCTAAAGAGTTTAGACAGTACTTCCCTCGCTGTCGGAAACGTGACGACTGCATGCGTATTGTGTTTTTTTTTGCAGTAGATTTCAAAGCATTCGGTTTTGTAGTTCCTGAGTAAACCAATAAAATAAATTTACGCATTCATTATTTTTTTTGGGTCACCCGGTATATGCAAATTCAAAAATATGAATGGAATGATAAATTACAAGTACAGACTCATCATATGTTGTCCATTCTAGATAGGATTTATTTGCCAAACTTTTGAGCTGACGTCATCAGTTTTTTGAAGAAGATAACCAAATATATTTTGTCTAAAAATTTATTATGCTCTTTATAACCTTAAAACATCTGCAAGATTTCAAAACATTCGGTTCTGTAGTTCCTGATTAAATCAATAAAATACATTTACGCATTCATTAATTTTTTTGGGTCACCCTGTATATCCAAATCCAAAAAATATGAATGGAATGATAAATCACAAGAAGAGACTCATCATATTTTGTACATTTTAGATAACATTTATTTGGCAAACTTTTGAGCTGACGTCATAAATTTTTTGGAGGGGATAAGTAAAATATTGTGATCAAAATTTTATCATGCTTATCGTAACTGTAAACCGTCTGCAAGATTTCAGAGCATTTGATTTTGTAGATTCCCAATTAAATCTCAAAATGTTGTTTCCTAATTCTGATTTTTTTTCCAAAAATCTGGACGTTTCGAATAAAATCTCAATTCGGAATCATAAACTACATATGTAAGACTATGTCATTTCATACAATTTAAAACCCAATTACTATGTACATTTTTGAAGTGATGTCATCACATTAGTGGTGGGGATGATTAGACAAATTTTCGTTAGCGTTTTACCATCTACATGATATACCTAATATAAATACAAAATTTGATAACAATCGCCCAGTGCTTTCGGAGATTATCTGTCTAATAAAAATCCGGAACGGCAGACAGACGGACAGACGGACGGAAACGGGAGACCTATTTCTTCGTCCTGTTGGGCTAATAAAAGATCGAGAAAACGTAAAAGTAAATTTTCTCGCGGTGCCGTACAGCCTTAAGTATAATTGCAAACACAAATGATTTCCGAGTAGAAATTGAAGGATGGTAAGGAGGTCATAAGTATACAAAACTCACTTGATATACACATTGTAAAATTTTTATGACTTAAGCGGCTTAAGCCAAACCACCCTTATAAGTCAAACTGGCTATTGTAAGCTTTGTGGACCCGAACCTCAAGGATTATTACTGTCCGTTGTTGCCATAATGGAGCTGTAAAGTTGTACTAGGTATATGTGAACTGAAATAAATTATACAATAGCCAGTTTGACTTAAGCCGCTTAAGTCCTAAAAATTTTACAATGTGTATATCAAGTGAGTTTTGTATATTTTAGGTGCGAGAGAAGTTCTGTCGAAACAACTTTCGATCAATTTTTACTTCCCGAGCGTAAGCAAAGGAAGTATTGTAATCGAGTCCGTCGGTCGACTCTCTACTTTTACGTTTTCTCGATCTTTCATGACCCCTAGAAGACGAAGAAATAGGTCTCCCATTTCCGTCTGTCTGTCCGTCTGTCCGTCTGTCCGTCTGTCCGTCTGTCTGTCTGTCCGTCCGTCTGTCCGTCCGTCTGCCGTCCCGGATTTTTATTAGACAGATAATCTCCGAAAGTACTCGACCGATTGTTGTGAAATTTTGTACTTACATTAAGAATATCATGTAGATGGTAAAACGCTAACCAAAATTTGTCTAATCATCCCCACCACTAATGCGATGACGTCACTTCAAAATTGTACATAGTAAATGGGTTTTCAATTGTATAAAATAACATAGTCCTTTGCTTATCTCCTCCAAAAACTTGATGACGTCAGCTCAAAAGTTTGTGGAATAAATCATATCTATAATGTACAAAATATGATGAGTCTGTACTTGTGATCTATCACTCCATTCATATTTTTTGGATTTGCATATACAGGGTGACTCAAAAAAATTAATGAATGCGTAAATTTATTTTACTGATTTACTCAGAAACTACAAAACCGAATGCTTTGAAATCTTGCAGATGTTTTAAGGTCATAAAGAGCATAATAAATGTTTGGTCAAAATATATTTGCTTATCCCCTCCAAAAAATTGATGACGTCAGCTCGAAAGTTTGCCGAATAAATCATATCTAAAATCTACAAAATATGATGAGTCTGTACTTGTCATTTATCATTCCATTCATATTTTTTGGATTTGCATATACAGAGTGACTCAAAAAAATTAATGAATGCGTAAATATATTTTATTGATTTAATCAGGAACTACAAAACGGAATGCTCTGATATCTTGCAGATGTTTTAAGGTTATAAAGAGCATAATAAATGTTTAGTCAAAATATATTTGCTTATCCCCTCCAAAAACTTGATGACGTCAGCTCGAAAATTTGCCGAATAAATCATATCTAAAATGTACAAAATATGATCAGTCTGTACTTGTGATCTATCACTCCATTCATATTTTTTGGATTTACATATACAGGGTGATTCAAGAAAATAAATGAAAGCGTAAATTTATTTTACTGATTTACTCAGGAACTACAAAACCGAATGCTTCGAAATCTTGAAGATATTTTAAAATTATCATAAGCATGGTAAATTTTTGATCAAAATGTATTTGGTCGTCCCCCCTAAAAAATTTATGACGTCACCACAAAATTTTGCTGCATAAATCCTATCTAAAATGTACAAAATATGGTGAGTCTCTTCTTGTGATTTATCATTCCATTCAAATTTTTTCGATTTGCATATACAGGGTGACTCAAAAAAAATAATGAATGCGTAAATTTATTTTATTGATTTAATCAGGAACTACAAAACCAAATGCTTTGAAATCTTGCAGATGTTTTAAGGCTATAAAGAGCATAATAAATTTTTAGTCAAAATATATTTGGTTATCTTCTACAAAAAACTGATGACGTCAGCTCAAAAGTTTGCCGAATAAATCGTATCTAAAATGTACAAAATATGATGAGTCTGTACTTGTGATTTATCATTCCATTCATATTTTTGGATTTGCATATGCAGGGTGACTCAAAAAAATTCATGAAGGCGTGAATTTATTTCATCGATTTAATCAGGAATTACAAAACCGAATGCTTTGAAATCTTGGGAATATTTTAAAGTTATTATAAGCATGGTAAACTTTTGTTCAAAATGTATTTGTTCATCCCTCCTAAAAAAATTGATGACGTCACCCTTAAATTTTGCTGAATAAATCCTATCTAAAATGCAAAAATATGATGAGTTTGTACTTGTGATATATCATTCCATTCATATTTTTTAGATTTTCTTAAGAGGTGGTTCAAAAAAAGGCGCCGTATATCTGAGTAAATTGTTTCGTTATTTTATTGATTATAAGAAATCAATATTCAAAACGACCCAATTCATTTTCCCGAAAATTTGGGAATACAAAAATTTTATTCTTAGTATTACACTACATCTATCCCAACTGATATACGTGTCCTTGCAAAAATGTTGATGACGTCATCACAATTTTTTTTTAAATTCCCACTACAAAAATGTAATGAGAAAAAAAAACACAATAGGCATGCAGTCGTCAAGTTTCCGACAGCGAGGGAAGTACTGTCTAAACTCTTTAGACCAATTTTTTTCCTTTATGTTCTTAAATCATAAGAATTATAAATGGAAATCCACAACAAACGTTATTAGTGTTTTAGTGAAATCACACAATTACAAAAACCCAACTTAACTCAATAAACAAGATTAATCGGAATAATTTCTTTACAACTTGAAGTTTAAGGGCCCTAGAAAATTTCACTACGGTCCATCTTGGCAAACTACTTAATATTCTTGTACTTTTAAATGATTATTATTGTTGGACCAACTATATTTCGTGTTTATTGCTTTAATGGCACTTTAGTTGTCCCACCCCTATATAAAATCTGTTTACCCACCGTCAACCGTACAGAACCGTCTTCCTTATTTTACTATCTAAATCTATTTTACTATTTAATTTTATTATCTGTTTGTGGCTACTACTGAGAACGCGAACGCAATAAAAACGGTATACCTCTGGACAAACTTCGGTGGGGGTTGTTTCGAAAATCGTATTTTATGTTTGTGGTACTATTAGTGCCTAATAGATTCATCTACATTCGTGCTAGCGTATTAACCAGTTCACTTAAATTTATTTTTCCGCCTGTTATTGTTTGCGATTAAAAAAAATAAATTTAAAAACCACACTCTTCTGAAGTGTGCATGTTACGCTACTGACTGACAGTCCGTTGTCAGATTTTGATGACTCACCATGTTGAACTTAAAATAATCCATCTCTAACAACCCTTGTCCTTCAACACTAGGTAACAGCAATCTGACGCTCAAATATTTATTTATGTTTACACGTCGAAAGAATGTCATGTAGAAATTATTTGATTTGAATGAGTTTGTCTTGTTTTTTAAAGATTACTTTAATTTTTAATTACCTAGCCTGTCCTATATTTTCAGGATAACGTATTTGTTTATTTCATTTATTTAGTACACTGGTATACATCTACTTTTTTGGAAAAAAATCGAAATTGCATAACAACATTTCACAATTTAATTCAGACTGCAAAAATCGTATGCTTTGATTTCCGAGATTTACCATGCTTACGATAACTTTAAAACGTTTTTCCGAAAATTTTATAATACAGGAGTAACACAGAAAAATTCAATTATTGTAATCGAGTCCATGTCGACATTTCCTGACCCCTATACCCCCATAATACGGATAAATTAGGTCACCCGTTTCCGTATGTCTGTCTGTGTCGATTTTTATTTGAAAATCAATAAGAAATTATCACAAAAAAATAATTCTCATATTCAAATTTTGTCGTATTTTCAAATTAGCTTTTTTGAGTGGTAATTGTAAATGAGTTTGAATAAAATTGAAATAACAATTCCCGTTAAAATTCTCTCCAAAAAAATAGGGATGAATAATTTGGTTGCTCTGGCAACTGTTCTTTGGCTCATATGAGGATTGTTAGCCATTCATTTCAAAACCTATTTCATTTTTTACCGCCTCTGAACTTTTTCATTCTTGATGTTTTAAGAAGTGATTATTCTCAAACAAGATTCCAGGGTTTTGAAAATCTTAGGATGCTCTTGTTTTATATAAAGCTGAACCGCTAAAAGGAGACGTTTTTTTTTCGCCGTAAATTAAGATCAAATCCGTTGTTTCATCGTTTCAATCCTCAACAATTCTACCTCTATGATTTAAATAAATTTGAATTTGTCTCTGACAATCTACAAAACTTTTTGAATCTCTTGGGTGTATTGTGGGTTGCATCTTCGTCTTGATAAGCTTATTACTTTTAAATCATCTCTATACGTACAACATCTTCAGTTCCGTACTCCATAAATATTTGAGCGCGCCGATGATTTCAGAATCTAATTTTATTGTTGGAAATACAGATAAAAAGTTACCAACTTGTTTAGCACCGCCATACCTGTCTTTAGACACCAAAACATAGGGATTTTATTTTTACGTACTAACTGTCAAATCCCATGTTTTTGTTGTATGTCAGTTAAAATCGTAAAATCAAAATAATGGAAGAATTTCCAAAACTCGTAAATCCACACGATGATTCGGTGATAAACATCACAAATCCATCGGTAAGTAACCCATTCTACAACATTATCACAAATTGACCTCGTGTTTCCAGTTCTCAATAGGAAGAAGCCTTAGCTGTGACCACATAATTCAATCCCTTGGAGTCTCACGATTCCACTGCATTATAAAGAAAAATGACAATAAATGGACACTCGTCGATAGAGTAAGACCCTTTTTAATCTTAACCAAGTACTAATTCCAATTCATTTAGAGCACAAATGGCACCATCGTTAACTCAACCCTCTACAAATTTAACGAAGGCGTAGACTTAAAAAGCGGAGATCTCGTGAAGCTGGGACCCGATAATTTAGATTTTGTCTTCACGTTGGATAAGCCGTCTCATACTGAACCTGTTATTATGGAACCAGACCATGTGATAGCTGAAGAGTTTGAACACCCGTTTGAATTAGAAGTTGCTCCAACACAACCGGAACCACAAGCCGTGTCCACAACAGAAGAACAGAAAGATCAACCCAAGCCGCAAGTTCAGAATGGCGACATAATGGAGAATGAGCTCACTTGTAGTATTTGTTCTGAATTATTCATAAAAGCAGTCACTCTTAACTGTTCCCACACTTTCTGCAAATTCTGCATCGATGAGTGGAAGAAGACCAAATCAAATTGCCCTATTTGTCGCAAATATATTCAAACTGTTGCTCCTACTTTAGTTTTAGATAATTTCATCGACAAGTACATAAGTACACAAAGTGATGAGGTTAAAGAGACCCGGATGGCTTTAATTCAACAGAGGCAGGATCAAATAGGAAAGGCGGCTAGTAGTTCGATGGCTGCAGGACCAATGAACATTATTGAAATTAATTCAGATAATGATCAGAGTGATGATGCTGATGACAGTGATGTTGATTATAGTGACTATTCAGGTGATGAGGATTATAGTTTCTATAATTATTTTGATGGGTCACCTCATTCGAGGTCTGGGGGGCCGTATTATGGGGGGTATGGACGGTGTTTCATTTGTAATCAGTCAGGACATTGGGCTAATGGGTGTCCGTTCAAAAGGCATTGATTTTCGTTTTCTTTCTTGTATATATTGAAAATAACAAATATAAATAAATATAGTAGTTACTTATCGTTAATGAAGAATTGTAACAGTAAGTTAAAACTACCAAGAACCATCACAGACACATGGAAAATTAATTGAGGGGTTGTTAATTTTCCTTCTTTCCTCAAACTGGCTATTTTTAGGAGACTCGGTAGCATGAAGATGTAAACAAGCCCACTTAATGCTCCTGTGTATCTGAAATAATATTAAATTGTTATTTTTGTATTAAAAATTGTTTTACTTGATGAGTGGTAAACGGTCAGAAGTTTAATTTTAAGTTATTTAACTACTTAAAAAGACAAGCATTTATTTTATCAGTATGATGTTGCAATCATCAGACAGTGGAAGATTATTAAGTAACTAAAGGTTTGAAATAACCGATTATAAGAATATTACCTTTAAAAAAACGGTTGGTTTTTAATGTTTTTCCGTCTGTCTGTCTGTCTATCCGTCCATCTGTCTGCCGTTCCGATTTTTATTGGACAGATAATTTCCGAAAGTACTGAGCCGATTGTTGTCAAATTTTGTATTTATATTAGGAATATCATGTATGTACTTACATAGATGGTAAAACGCTAACCGAAATTTGTCTATTCATCCCCAACAATAATGTGATGTCACTTGAAAATTGTAAACAAAAAAACTAATTTAAAAATCGAAAGACTGCAAAATTATGAAATTGAAAAATCAGAAACTTGCAAAATTAAAAGTCAATAGATCAATTTTATCTAAACCTAAATGTAATTGGAAAATCGAAACAATGAAATTTTGACAGTTGAAAAATCAAAAGTTGAAAATTCATTCATTAAAAGCCAAATAATGGAGACTTCCAAAAATTGTAAAAATGTAATACTGAAAAATCAAAAAAATGTAAAATCGAAAAACTGAAAAATGTAAAACTTGAAAAGTTGAAATTTTGAACAATTATAACAAAAATAAAAAAAATAAAAATTGTAAAATTACCAAATGGAAAAATTGAATAATAATTATAAACTGTAAAAATGAAAAATTTCTAAACTATTAAATTGAAAAACGAAAAATCGTAGGATTCCAAAACTAAAAAATTGAAAAATAAAGACATTGGAAAATCTTATAATTGAAAAATAAAAAACTGAAATATTGATTCATTAAAAACTGGACAACTGAGAAATAAAAAATTTTAAAAATGTAAAACTCAAAAAATTGCAAAATTACAAAACCGAAAAGTTGTACAATTTTAAAATTGAAAAACTGAAAAGTCAGACAATAGTAAAATAAAAAATCACAAAATCGGAAAATTGCAAAACAATAAATTCGAAATTTTGAATAAAGTCAAAAAATCAAAATATTGCAAAATTACAACATTGAAAAATTGCATAACATGTAACTGTAAAATCGAAAAATTATTAAACTGTAAAACTGAAAATTTTCAAAAACAAAATTAAAAATGCAATAATATTAAAATCGAAAGCCTGCAAAATTATGAAATTGACAAATTATAAATAGCAGTTTTGAAAAACAAAAAATAAAAAGATTGAAAAATTAAACAATGAAATTTGGATAAGTGAAAAATCAAAAAATGAATAACTGCGAAGACAAAAATGTTTAAAATGAACAATTATAAAATTGAAAATTGATTAATTAAAACCCAAATATGTGAGACATCCAAAAATTGTTAAAATTGATCAAGAAAAGTATAAAATCGAAACATTGAAAACTCGGATACCTTTAAATTCGAACAATTGTAAAATAATTAAACTGAAAAATCAGAAACTAATAATTGCAATTTTGGACAATTAAAAATTGACAAGAATGAAAAATTGTAAAATTACAAAATAGAAAAATGAATAATTGTAATTACTTGAAAATTAATTAAACTGTAAAAATCAAAAATTGCAAAATTATTAAATCAAAAAATCGTAAAAACCGAAAAACTGAAAAATCAATATATTGGAAAATCTGAAAATCGAAAAATCAAGATTTGAAAAACCGATTCATCAAAAACCGGACAACTGAAAAGTCGAAAAATTGTAGAAATATAAAATTGAAAAACTCAAACCCCGGACAACAGATAAATAAAAAAACAATTGAAAAATCAAAAATTGCAAAATTATGAAATCGAGAAATCAAAAACTTGGAAAATTCGAAATCTAAATTTTGAGTAATTAAAAATTGAAAAATTATAAAATTGAAAAATTGGATAATTGTAAAATCGAAAAATTATTAAACTGTAAAACTGGGAAATTGCAAAAACGAAATTATAAATCGAATAATTTTAAAATCGAAATATTTTAAAATCGAAAAGCTGCAAAATTATGAAATAGAAAAATTAGAAACTTGAAAAATTGAAAATAGAAGTTTGAAAAATTAAAAATCAATAAGTTGGAAAATCAAAATAATTAAATTTGGATTATTGAAAAATCAAAAATTGAATAACTGCAAACACGAAAAGTTTTAAAAACGGAAAATTAGAAAATCAGCTAATTGTAAACAAAAAAATTACTCAATTTAAAAATCGAATTTTATCTAAACCGAAATCTAATTGGAAAATCGAAACACTGAAATTTCGACAATTGAAAAATCAAAAGTTGAAAATTCATTAAAAGCCAAATAATTGAGACTTCCAAAAATTGTAAAAATGTAATACTGAAAAATTAAAAAAATGTAAAATCGAAAAACTGGAAAATAATTAAACTGAAAAATGTAAAACTTGAAAAGTGAAATTTTGAACAATTAAAAATAAAAAAATTAAAAATTGTAAAATTACCAGATAGAAAAATTGAATAATAATTATAAACTATAAAAATGAAAAATTGCTAAACTATTAAATAGAAAAATTGAACAATTGAAAAATGGAAAATCGTAGGATTCCAAAACCGAAAAATAAAGACAATCGAAAATCTTATAATTGGACAACTGGACAATCCAGAAATCAACAATTGTAAAAATGTAAAACTCAAAAAATTGCGAAATTACAAAACCGAAAAGTCGTACAATTTTAAAATTGAAAAACTGAAAACTCGGACAATAATAAAATAAAAAATCACCAAATTGGAAAATTGCAAAACAATAAAATTGAAATTTTTAACAATTATAAAATCAAAAAATCAAAATATTGCAAAATTACAACATTGAAAATTTGAATAACATGTAACTGTAAATTCGAAAAATTATTAAACTGTAAAACTGAAAATTTGCAAAAACAAAGTTAAAAATCCAATAATATTAAAATCGAAAGCCTGCAAAATTATGAAATTGACAAATTATAAATAGCAGTTTTGAAAAATTAAAAATAAAAAGATTGAAAAATTAAACAATGAAATTTGGATAAGTGAAAAATCAAAAAATGAATAACTGCAAAGACAAAAAATGTTTAAAATGAAAAATTATAAAATTGAAAATTGATTAATTAAAACCCAATATTTGAGACATCCAAAAATTGTTAAAATTGATCAAGAAAAGTCTAAAATCGAAAAACTGAAAACTCAAACAACAGAAAAATAAAAAAACAATTGAAAAATCAAAAATTGCAAAATTATGAAATCGAGAAGTCAAAAACTTCGAAATCTAAATTTTTTGAGTAATGAAAAATCAAAAAATTAAAAAGTCGAAACAATAAGTTTCGGATAATTAAAAATCAAAAAATTGCAAAATTATAAAACTGAAAACTTGGATAATTGTAAAATCGAAAATTATTAAACTGTAAAACTGGGAAATTGTAAAAACGAAATTATAAATCGAATAATTTTAAAATCGAAAAACTGCAAAATTATGGAATAGAAAAATTAGAAACTTGAAAAATTGAAAATAAAAGTTTAGATAAATTAAAAATCAAAAAATTGGAAAATAAAAAAAAATAAATTTGGATCATTGAACAATCAAAAACTGAATAACTGCAAACACGAAAAATTTTAAAAACGGAGAATTATAAAATTGATTAATTAAAACCCCAATATTTGAGACATGCAGAAGTTGTTAAAATATAAAATTGATTAAGAAAAGTGTAAAATCGGAAAATTGAAAAATCGGATACCTTTAAAATTCAAAAATTGTATTGTAAGCTCTTCAGTTTCGTAATTTCTAAGCTATATTGCAGTTAGTTAATTTTAATTTTTTCCCCAAACCCTACATAAGGTTGAAAATAGATGTGGATTAGTAACTGGCAGGCCAACAGCACATTATTTTGCACATTTTAAGCAAAATGTTGAAATGGCGTCATCAAAATTTTGGTGGGGATAGTAGACAAGTTTTGCTTTGCGGTAAAATTTCACAACAATCAGTACTTATCAAAGCTACACCATACGTTCAGAAAATATTTGAGCATCAAGAGATAACTAAGAAGTATTTTATCGCTTTTTTTGATAATGGCAACGAAAGTTCATACTTATGTCATAATTATTCACTCATATGTTTTAATTAATAAAACCATTTAAAACATAAAAAAAGTCCACCGTTTTTAAAGAGACAACGTTGTTTGTTTATCAATTTCTCTTACCTGATTAAAGTTCCTATTCTTGGAAGAAAACATGCGAAGAGGATGCATATAGTCAAGATTCCTAAATTTATAACTATCACTCTGGGATAGGTGAATTCGCCGAATCTATAGTTCTTGAAGATCATGTTGATATTAGCAAAAATATCGTTCCTTAACATGTACGAGATTAGAGGAAATACGGTGAATAGTTGAAATAAGAGCAAAACCCGTGCTATTATTGTCAAGACATCATATTTGTTGAAATTGTTGAGAATATTCTGAAATCACAAAATTATTAATGATTGGTTATTCTAAGCCCCTCCTGTTTTTCCGTAGAGGAGGGGCTTAGAGAGCGCGCGCTCAACTTACATCTTCAATACAGAATTTCGGCAGCGGAAAGCAAATGTAAAAGAAAACCCCAATAAACAAATAGGTGAAAGTAACCAAACCGAAAGCAATTGAGAGATCTCTGCCCTGAAAACAAAACCACGTAAATAAAAACCAAACAGAATCGAATCCAACTTACGTTATGTTCTTGATATTTATTGTTCCTCATAATTGAAATAATAATGTTGTGAATGAAATAACTTAGCGATAACATTCCGCTGAGGGCACAGAATGTAGGTTTCATGTAAAATTCTATATTCCAGTCTGGCATATTAATTCCCCAAATCCCAGCTTTCACAGCAACAAAAAGGATTAAGTACGAAACGCTAATAGTACCTACGAAAAAAAAAAAAAACACTAATGAAAACACACACTAATTTAGTGTATCCATCATACCCAAACTGTTGAACTTGGTGAAAAATGTAGGACTCTTCCAGTTCAACATCGGAAACATTATTAGACCCAGTATCACAGGCACAGTTGAATACAAGTCCCAAATTTTATCAAACCCTGATCTGTTGACAACCCCAGCTTTCATCGGAGTCAAAATCGTCTCGTTTTTGGGACACAAAAGGGTAATATTCGAAACGGGGGAGTCGTCCAGGTTGAGAAGGACCCCTTAAAGTGAAATTTCAATAATTCAATGTTAAAGGTAGGTAAATCACTCACCGTAGAAGAATTTGACAGAATTGTAAAAGAAGTTAGACATGAGGATCCAGTAGACTATGTTGGCACCAATCAGGACCACCATCGAGAAAATTTTCGCTAAAATCTCCGCCCATCGTCCAATCAGGGCTCTGCACAAGTCGCAAACTTCACCGTTTTGTCCAATGACGCCGTGTTTTTCGTTGACCTTGAGTAGGGTGTAAGTTGTGTATAAACAAATGGCAGCGATTGCAATGTTTATGAAAATAGCCGGGAAGAGGCCGGTTTTTTCGATGCCCCAAGCCATTGCGAGGAGGGAAGTCCCCACTGTGGTGTTCCATATTGCAAATCTTAAAAAAAAAAGTTCTATGTATCAAGTAAAAAAATTGTATATGAAGGTTACAAAATTTTTATAAAATCTCGTCAAATTGTTAGCCATAAGATGTGTTTTTTTCGTTTATTCTGAAGATGTTCAAATTTTTGGTGTTGTGGGGATAATAACTTTTTAAGTTATTCTTACTCATTCATTATAACATTAAAAAAATCCACTGCATATCTTCGTTAAATCTGTTTGTAGATGGGCACTTGTATTTTCATCTCAAATTAAAAACAAATTGTTACTATAGAAACCATCACAAGTTCTAATCAAAGTCTCCTGAAGCCAACAATTTTTGCGAAATTCCAAGTTAAGATAAAAAAAATTAATCAGACTTCGAGACAAAGAAATCAAACTTTTAGTTGACTCTCCAAAAATTTCCCAACTTTCTCAAAACCCCCAAGTCAAACATCGATAACACAAATATTTACAAAAAAGTTTTATTTTTAACAAATCTTTGCTCTTTAACTCGGACTTGTTTACGATATGGTAGCTGATTCAATTTCTTCGAACATTTCATCAGATTTCCTATTTTCGAGTTGATAATACGACAGTGCATTGGACAAGGACGACACAATAACAAACAGAGATAGAGCATGTAATAAACTTCTAGACCTTTCCCCGTATAGTCGCGGCTGCTTTATCGACAGACCGTCATTAAATTATAATTAACAATCATCGGGAAAAATGAGGCTTTAGATACGTTATCTTCTAAACAAAAGATTATAAAAATTATCTTACATAGTGACCAGCGAACTGTTCGTTTCCGGTGTTTCCGGGTCGTGGTAGTCGTAATTACCATTGGGTGCACCTTTCGCGCCCTGTAATAAAGAAGGTGTTACTAAGCAAGATTAAATTGACGAAATAATTATTTTTAATTCGATAATCACTTACCAGGGTTTTTTCCCCGGTTAAGAAATCGTCCACAGGTTTATATTGGGTGTCATGGGTCGAATAGATTGCAAAATCTGGGGTTTCGTAACTCTGGTAAAGAAAAGGTCTACAACAAATATCGCTATAATTTTTTCTAGTTTTTTAAGAAAATAAAACACCTTTTAGATTCTCTTTGCAGCAAAAGATCCGGAATTTGTGGTGTTTGCTTTTTCACGTCCCTGTCGACTTCTGTGTCTGTATCGGAATCATTTCTAAAAACACATGGTGTACTACCAAAACTGTTGCATGGTGACGATGAAGAGCTCATCAGCGGCTGCGACTCAGCCTCAGACTCGGAGTCTGTTTTTCGTTGCAGAAGGAGTTTATAATTACGGATTAAGTCTGTTAAAAAAAACAGTTAATACACAAACTTAACAAAAATCGTACTTACCCCTCATGACTATCTCAGAATAAAACAACATAAATCGTAAAAAATCTCGTCACAAAAAAGAAAAAAAGATCACGCACATTCTTTTCTAAAGTAAAAGTTCCATGCATAATTACACAAATCTGTTGATTTAAAATCAAAACTGAAAATAACTCTGTACTTTTGTGTCGGATTTTAAAAGAGCACTGGAGCACTTGGAGTTCAGTTCGTATGACTAACGTCTTCAGTTTCAACACTCCTTTTAATACGTTTGGAGCGATAAGAAAAACACGTCATGACGAATTTGAAAGAGTAAAGATAAAAGACTTAATGACAATGATAGTTCTTGTTTGTTAGGGTTTTAAAATGTTTGCTTTTGCCTTGAAGGGATGTACTTGGATAAACTTCCGCAATTTATACGAAAAAATGTTTTAAAAATGCGAACGTTTTTAAGGCAATGGATCACATGAGTGCAAATTATTTTTAACAGTGGCCTTTGTAAACAATAACAAAATTCAGATAACACAGATATAAATATATAATTCAGCGCAAATATTGTAAAACTATCAAAAGAGATTTAGATTTTTAAGATTGTGTCGGCTTCTTTAAAATTTATGTTTTATTTTGTTTATTTTTTGGGTCGAAATTTAATTTTTCAAAACTGCGGAATATGTAATACATAAAAGCAATATAAATATTTTTCTATTTCTAATATGATAAAATGTTGTCTATTTTTGTGAAAATATTTACAATCCTTTCGCAGCGCCAAATGTTTTTCAATAACAAAATTTAATGAAGATCTTACGAAATCAATGACAACAACACTTTAATAGTAGATTAATAACATAAAGAAAAATAATTTCATAGATAATATGTTTGTATATAAAATGCTAACTAGAGAATATCTTATGTAGGAATATTGTCATTAACTATCGGGTATCGGCAGAAATATACCTAGTTAATCCTAATTGCAGTATAATTTACAAAATAAATACAATATACCTAATTGCTAGATGCCCTTATAAGCTTGTTTATAATTCCGTGTTTACAAGGTTTTCTGGTTAAAATAATCATTAAGAACCTCCGACTACATATATTCATGGTTATAAACATATTTTCGTAAAAACATTTAGGACCAACAAGTTATTTCGACAAAACTTCCTTCTCCCCGGACGCATACTTAGTCAATTAAATTAAATGCCGTTTCTTAGACCAGTTGAAGAGGGTTTTTCAAAACTAATATAAAAAATGGGCATAATATAGGAAATTAGAAATACGCTCTCAAACAAATAGTTTTTCCAAAACTGGATTAAGTCCAATCAAATTTTATTCCAAAACTAATTTAAGTCCATTCACACAAGTTTGAAACTTATGTTAATTAAGTCCATAGACTGGTTAGTCTTGGATTATAATTACATATTTTATATAAAAAGTGAATGTTATATTTTTTAACTACGAGTATAATAAGCCCAAAAAGCTCATTTTGTTGTAAATTATCTCCGATTCGATATTTTGGACTTAGATTTCCAAAAACCCCCTTGAATTTATTTATTAATTTTTTAAACATTCTGTATAAACAGTTCTACAAAACAAAAATTACAGTGACTTCATAAACTTCAAGGATATAAGGATGAATATTTAAATTTTAATCGCTCTTCTGTAATCATTTAATCATTGTTTGTGTGCAGCCCAAATTGTAAAAAAAAATCTTTTCAGAGATTCTACGATAAACTGTAAAATTTACTTTCACAATATTTTTTTACGATGAGCTATCATTAAAAATTAAACTAAGTACAAATAAAAAAAGCGTATTAAACAATCTTAAAGTACATTTTGAATATTTCCTCCATTTTTAAAATATCTTTTTTTAAAGTTGTGTATTTCTAAAGATTTTGGTCAGATTCCAGCGCATCCATATAGAAACCTCTGACTTTCAGATTTTTACAAAAAAAAAAAAAACACTTCAACATGTCAAAATTGGCCTGTTGAAGTGTTTTTGCCCCTTTTTTTGGTGTTATATATATTTAATTTTATAGGATTGCATATTCCTGCACGTGTGATTCATGACTCCGTGTTGAGTTTTTACCTGAAACGTCCAGACTTTTGTGGAAAAAAATCAAAATTTAACTTTAGAATTGCAAAAGCCAATGTACTGAAATTTGCAAACATTTTACGGTTCTAAGAAAGGAAAGGAAAAAATAATTGTTTACTTGAGGCTTTCCAAAAAAATTATGACGTCATCTTAGGATTCTGCCGAACAAATGTTTTTTAAATTTTTTAAAATAACATGTATGATTTATGAATCTGTTTTGAGATTTTACCCTTAGCATCCAGATTTTTGGAAAAAAAGTCAACATTATATAACAATATTTTAGAATTTAACTTTGAAATTGCAAACACCGAATGCTGTGAAATCATATCGTTAATCAAAATTGATGCGACATCTTACATTTTTGACAAATTTCTTCAAATTTATGAATGCTTTTGGGAAAAAACTGAATATCTATGAATTAGTAAATTAGTCCTTTCCTCTGCGTGAGGACACAAAATTAACCAAATTTCATTTTCAGTTATGGTGCTTGTAATCTGAACGTGCTAATAGTCCAATTCGGTCGAAGCATAAACATAAACAGTCGAAGTTAAGCATATACTAAGAAATTGAGTTTTTTCCTGTCAGTTATCTGCTTTAAATATATTTCGCATTTAAAGACGCAGGGGCTGCGGTGATGTTAATTATGTCACTTTCTAGAGGTTAACAGTTATCACAAAACGAAAATCGCAAAATCTAATTTTATATTTTTTCAAAGAAGAGGAATTTGTGACTATACTTCAAGGGCGAGGAAAGTTCTGTTGTCAAAATAACCTTCCACAAGTTTTTTTACTAGATTTGTTTTTCTTGGTCGCGTTATCAAAATTCCAAAAACATATTTTTTTCAAAACACCAAAAAACTGAAAATGATAATAGCAATAATAATAGCAGACAGTGTACGTAAATTTTTGTTTGTAATTTTGCCAAGAGGCATTGTTTAAACAAAAATGGATCACATCCGACACCACTGGCTTCTTCAACGAGGGTAATTAACTAAATTAGTGTAAGAGCAGTTAATTAGCGATTTTCTAATTTGAAATGTTGTGAAACTTTGGCGCATTCGTTAACACGTGTTGTTATTATTTTATTGTTTGTAAATTCGCAGTTTATCTTAAGATTTTTAATTGTTCATGGTTCTAATACAGTTTAACTACAATAATGGAAATGTTCTGGTAAAACACGTGACAGGAAATTCACTTATTCAGTTCAGACTTAACTCACTTTAATAACGATATATCTATATGTAGGTATCTAAACTTTTGGATGTTTTTACTTAAATTATTACATTATCTGCAGCCCATAACTTCTCACTCGAGATTTCAGATAGAGCTTAGTGGCATTTAAACTAGTACCAAACATTGATACATTTTGACAAAAAGGATCCTGAAAATTTTCTGTTAAATTAATACCATTGTGGACTTGAAAACGGGAGGGTTCTAAAATTTTCCTATTTATATGTGATATGAGGTTTACTTTTGGTCAACCACGGTGCAACCTGCGAACATATTTTTGATTTAAGGGGACTCGCTAGACGAGGTATAACATTTTTTTGTTTTTTGTATGAAAAAATGATATTAATATTGATGTATCATACATCAAACTGCAGCTTTTTTCATATTTTAGAGCGCAGAGACCAGTTCAATCAACTAAAAAAATGTGGATGAGAAATATCGTAAAAAAAGCACCATTGTATGTTTTCTTTTCAAGTTTTTTAAGTCATAACCATCATAGAATCGCTTGAAAATTCGCCCATGGATAAAACATCACTTTTTACAGGGCGCAGAGTCATTAAATGTTTGTTAGTGGTACAATTTGTTTAAATAATAATGTGTTTATTAAAATCAAAATATACCACAAATTAATGCAAAATACGTCGAATAATTTTAACAGGAATATCAGAGGAGAATTAATGATCTATTGGTTTGCAGAGTTTTTAACAAAAACTAACAATTATTGAAAAAAATGGGTATCAATTCGACACAATTTGAGCAGTTAGTTCAGTACTTTGCCGATAGGAGCGCCACTAAAATTTACGGAAGCGGCTTTCCAGGTAAACCCTTATTGCCTGCTCTACCATAAGCTGATTGTTAGAGGTCTCGACTGATTTTTCTAATTTATGGCAAGGAACTCAGTTTTATAACAAGCCGCCAGGACCGGCCGTAGTAATCTATTGTTAAGGAAATTAACTTTTACGCAATGAGGTACTATTATAAAACCGAATTAAAACTGGGGAACTATAATATTTTTACTCCACTCAGGATCCTGAATTCAATACACATGATTACTAAAAAATCATTGTAATATTATTGTTAATATATATTTTGCTTTGTTAATTAATAAAACTAATAAACATATTTATAATAATAATAAAAAATATATAAAATACAGCTTTTGTTTAACACGTATAAGTAGCTATCTACTACTTATCCCAGAACGGAGGTGTTTTAAAAAGGCCCTACGCCCAGTAACTTCTCCTTTCATTGTTTACTCGAAAAAAGTGCTCGTATATGTTTTCATTTGCCGAGAGATCATTTTCAAAATATATTTATAGTAAAAATATGCAAGTCTTGGTGATGAAAAATGTACTCCTAATAAATTATTAAAGTGCATAAAAAAAATTGAAGCAAATTTTATTTATTTTAAAAAAATCTCTCGCAAAGGCAGGTTCCTCTTTCTTCTTGAATTAATTATTTCGGGCAATAATGCGCCAAAGGAAAATCTGCCAAGTTTATCTGCCATCTTTTTACATATATTCTATACACTTTTTCTATATTTATTCCTTTGGGTGTCCATACAAAATAAACTTGTGAAATACCCGTAACAAGCATTTGTCCCTGGACTTGAAAGTAGTAATCATGATTTTTTTTTAGTTTCAATTTTCTGTCTGTCAATGTACAAAATTTGATTATTTTTTTTCTAACCGCTTCTTCGGGAGACAAATCTTGCGATTTTGAAGGGCATTTAATTTCGACTAATGCACTTCTATCCTCTAGAACCCTGTCTGGACTAGCAGCCAAGTAAGGAAATTGTTTTGAAATAAACAAGCCACACCGTTCAGTTTTTATATTTTTATTTATTTCAAAACACTTGACAGCTTTTTCCTCACTTTGCTGTCCATAGTATGGACGACTATTACCTCTAAATGTACTGTAAAACAGTGACTCCACAGTTTTAGTTATTGCTGTAGTCGGTCTAAGTTTGTAAACACGTCCAAAATTTGAAGCCGTAACCCTAATTTCTCTTTCTTTTGCCCAAATGTGCCTCTTTGGCTGTCACAAATGTTTGAAAATCCATGATAGGATTTTCTAAAAAATATTTAAACCATAATCGCAGTCGGGACCAGCATACGTAAATTTTTTTACGACATATTTTTTTATGAATACTTTGTTTAAGACGAACTTGTTTTATAGACGAACAATATTTTTTTGTTATTAAACCAGGACCATTTTAATCACAATATATTTACTTATCCCCTCTAAAAAATTGATGACGTCACCTCAAAATTTTGCTGAATAAATCCTATCTAAATTGTATAAAATATGATGAGTCTCTTCTTGTGATTTATCATTCCATTCATGTTTTTTGGATTTGCATATACAGGATGACCCCAAAAATTAATGAACGCGTAAATTTATTTTATTGATTTAATCAGGAACCACAGAACCCAATGCTTTGAAATTTTGCAAATGTTTTAAAGTTATAAAGCGCATAATAAATTTTTGGTCAAAATATATTTGCTTATCCCCTCCAAAAAATTGATGACGTCAGCTCAAAAGTTTGCCGTATAATCCTATTTAAAATTTACAAAATATGATGAGTCTCTTCTTGTAATTTATCATTCCATTCATATTTTTTGGATATGCATATACAGGGTGACTCAAAAAATTTAATGAATGCGAAAATTTCTTTTATTGATTTAATCAGGAACTACAAAACCGAATGCTTTGAAATCTAATGTGAAAAAAAAACATAATAGGCATGCAGTCGTCACGTTTCCGATAGCGAGGGAAGTACTGTCTAAACTCTTTAGACCAATTTTTTTGATTTTCCCATTTTTCCATTTCTCAATTTTTCAATGTTTCAGTTTGGGTTTTTTTAACTGTTTCGATTCTTTAATTTTCCTTCCATTTTTAGGTTTTTCAATATTTCAGCTTTGGAATTTTGCCATATTTCGTTTCTTTAATTTTTCAAATTTTTGACATTGTGTTTTCTCGGTTTTTAAATTTTTCGATATTCTAATTTTTCAGTTTTTAAAGTTTTAGGTTTTTAGATTTCTCACTATCTCGACTTTTCGGTTTTCCAGTTCCATGATTTTTCAATTTGTCGAAATTTTAAATTTTAGATTTTTTGGTCTCGATCATTCAATTTTCTGAGTTTTCAGGCTTAGATTTTTTTTGTTGCTCAATTCTTGGATTTTTAAAATTTTTGTTTTTTAAATTTTCCTATTTATCAACTTACTGGGATTTCAATGTTTTGATTTTTTGATTGTTCAATTTCTCGATTTTTTAAATTTTAGTTTTTGATATGATTTTTTTTTCAAAAATTTTCAGTTTTTTAATTTATTAACTTTACGATATTTCACTCTTACGATTTTTAAATTTTTTTATTTTTCAGTTTTCAATTTTTGACGTTTCTTAATTTTTCGATTAACTGATTTTTTGATTTTCCCATTTCTCTATTTTTTGATTTTTCAATTCTTTCTTCAATTGTGATTTTTCAATTTTTCGATTTCTGGATTTTTCAATGTTTCAATTTTGTATTTTTTCACTTTTCCGATTCTTCAATTTTCTTTCCATTTTTCAGTTTTTCAAGATTTCAGTTTTGAATTTTTTCACTTTTTCGATTTTTCAATTTTCCTTTCATTTTTCAGTTTTTCAGTATTTCAGTTCTGCGATTTTGCAATGTTTCGGTTCTTCAATTTTTCCATTTTTTGATGTTTCGATTTCTCGGTTTTTCAATTTTTCGATAAGTATTTTAATTTTTCAATTTTTAAGTTCTAGATTTTCCGTTAATTTTTTTGTTTTCCTTGATGTTTTGATTTCTCGATTATTCGATTTTTCAAGTTCTCGGTTTAGATTTTTTGGTTTTCCAATTCTTCGATTTTTAAATTGTTTAACTTTTAGATTGTTCCATTTCTCGATTTATAGATTTTTCAATTTTGGTGTAATTTGAAAACGGTATTAATAATACATTTAGGCGAATAAGCTTATAGAGGGGCTTGATAAGCCTTGTTTGCTCTACAGTGTCTAAATTGTGTTTGAATAATATAATAATTATCTCGAATATTAAAATTAATATGTCAAAAGAATACGAGAAATGATTATTCTGTGCTGAAGTTATGTTGTGGGCCGCCTGTCATAAATTATCATAAATCTGCATTATCGGCTTACGATATTTTTATGACCCACGTCCGGTAGCTGTCTATCCCAGCGCGTCAGGAAAATTTAAAGAAGAATTGCTGGTTGCGTTTAAGGCAACAAATGGCGCCCAATTCAAACTTGTCTCTCGTCTAGCGTTCCCCCTTAATCAGTAACTTGAATTATCAAGTAACACATAACTTAACATCATACATATTCTTTGTTGTTTAAAATTCTCGATTGTGTTAAATATTTATTACTTGCTTGCTTCCTGGTAATTCTGGTACTTATCCCGATATCGTGCTACGTTTCTCAACTTAACTTGCGTCGAACTTTTTTAATCAACAATAATTAAATGAACTAGTTGAACTCAATTGCAGCAGTATTAGTAGGGGGAATTTTAATGCCAGTTCTCCGTGAATCCTGCAACATCACGTTACCTCGGAATCTGAGGAGAGCTCGATCGTCTTGATCAGAGCCATCGATCCCATAACCGTGATCTACGGTTTTGATTCCCGATACAGATTTTGGTCCTGTTCATCAGTAATTATTAATTAAATTTGACGCCACGCCATGGTAATAATTAGTGTATTACCCCAATCACTTCAATGGCGACTTCTTTTTTTCTGTGTACCTAAATTTGTGGTATTCAAATATTTATATTGATTAGTACGTACTTGATTGTTATAACATTTTGAATGTAACTCCACCACCCGCTCTCTTTATTTTCTTAGAGGATATGTCATCTGCCAAAATTAACTACTACCCCCCCCCCCCTTAGGTATTTTCTTAAAGAATATATCATTTTCCAAAATCAGTATTATCTTAGGAAGTACTGGCTGCGCCCATTCATTCTCTATTTTCTTAGAGGGTATATTATTTGCCAAAATAAGTCCTATCTTAGCAAGTATTTTTTTAACAGTTTTTTTCATCTTCTTTTTAAAATTTTGGTGAAATTTTTCATAGCGTATTTTTGAAAATTAATATCTCAATTATTTAAGGAAATTTCAGAAGGCAATTTTTACCACTGTTTTCAGCAACTCTATAAATTGTATCAAAAACATTGTCGACTTTTTGTCGGAAATAAGAGACAACTTCCTCGACATAATCTGCTTTTACTATATTTGATTTCCGACAAAAAAAGTCGACAAAATCGAAAAACTCCAAAAATGCAATAAATATTGACTTTGAATGTAACAAAAATGAAAGAAAATTTAAAAATAGGATAAGATGCAGTAATAAAATACATTCTATTTGAAAAATAAAAATTTCGATATTCGAAAACTGTATTAATTTATTTTTTTATAACTACTCTGTATACTAAGATTCAATTTCATTTATACCATAACAAAGCGCATGCTTTAGTTATCTTTCCACAAAATATTGTAACCCAAATTTTAAAAATAATCCTATTAAATGGCGTTTATTTAATAAAATAAAAATCAAAATTAAACAATCTATAGGAAAATAAAGTACAACACTGAAGACCTTGAATAAATATTTTTTCTGGAGACTTCAGACTTCAAAATGGAGTAATTTTTTAAGTGGTGTCATACTTTCGCTATCAAAATTAAATTAAGCTTAATCAAAGTAAGTGATTTTTTAGGATAATTGTTTACTATAATTCTCATAGGTTTAAAATATGTATTATTTGTATTAAAGTACGGTTGTTTTTATACTGCTCTTATGACTTTTTGTACGCTGATAACTTGGAAGAGTATCTACATTTTAAAATTTTTATGTCAAACTCACGGTGTCCTTCCAAGTTGTTAGGACAGTGACCCACAGGTAAGATAGTTACCTAATTTTTATAATTTATAATCTTTAGCTAGGAAAAACTGTATACAAGTCCGAAACATAGGAAATACAGGGGGAAAAGTAGTACAGTTTTTCTGAGGGAGTTTTCCAGCTGACATGAAAAAAACAGCCTATTGCATTTAGTGATACTGTGAGGTTATCAAATATATTTTAAAGAAACTCCGGATTTCCGGAACGGTCTATCTAGTTTAAATTTAGATACAGGAACATTTTTCCGGAAAACCACCTGCTAACCACGCCCCCACAAACGTCAAATCCTACCAACTGTCAAATTTCAGTTTTGACAACTGTCACGTCATGTTTACATAAATATTTATTTTTTTATTAGTGATAATCACGTTCCGCATATCAAGGTAAGTGAGTCTTATCGTAACACCACGAACCAGATTAAGAATGACGTCTATAATCGCAGTATCGGGATACCTTTCATTCTGCTTTCATCGTCTTCCTCGATAAATAAACGTTTCTCGTAAAATCGGAAACCATAACCTTCCTAGCATTACCCCAAACAAAACAAAACTCCCGGAAAAACGTAAAATCAAAAATCTGAAAAAACCTCATTCCAAGTTATTCGATAAAAAATTAATACGAAAAAATCAAATAATTAGGCCACTTTCACTTTTTGCGGTTGGTAGTCGATCTCACGTGTTGTTGCGTCACAGACCGCGCCCATTTCAAATTCGAAGTTTAATCAATTACGAGAGGGTCCGTCCCGGCGCATTCAGCGGTTATCATCACTCGTCATCTGTTTGATGCGACGATAAATTATGAGGTCACCGAATTTACCTAGTGTAATCTTTGACTGTCTGGTAGGAGATGCAACTAATACATTTTACAAGTGGGGTTCAAAGTCGTACTATACAAATGATAAAATGATAACAAACATAAACAAACGGCGGAATTTCTTTTGAATGGGAACTACACAGCTGCATTGAAAGTTTTGAAAAAAATTATCACTGTTTTTTTTTAAAGAGAAAAAAACCTGCTGATAATTTTGATAAAATTAAGAGTGGTGTAATTAAATATTCCCAAATAACATTTTCTTGGAGCACTTTTTCGCATTTTGGTGTTTACTAGTGATAGTGCCAGTGGGATAACAGTTGTGATATTATCGTGTGATACTGGTCTTATTTCGGGTGAACTTTGTGATAACGTGGTGTGCGTTTTTTATATTTTCATTCGTCATGATTGTCACATGTTTTGATTAAGATTTCTATTGATTGTTATTGTGAAAATCTGTAAAAGTGGTTAAATATAACATGATGTTGATTATATGAATTATTTTGTGGATTTCTTACATTCTATTTTTTTAGCTTAACTATATGTAACAAGTAGATACCTCGCTGTTTGGAGACTTCTGAAAGGTCTATAACTGATGTGAAAAATTATATCTATGTTGTTAAACTTTAGAAAGGTTGTTGTTTGTAGTGAAAATAACATAGCTTTAGAACACTGATTTACTAGATAAGCTGTATCGTGCTTATTTATCGCTTCCTTAAATTAAATTAAGACATACTTATGTTTAAGTATAGTTTGTTTTATTTGCTGTTGTAATTTAAGCTTTTTTACAAGATTAGTTATTGTAAAAAATTTTGTACTATAAAATTAAAAAATATCTTCATCTAGATAAGACTGATTTTGGCAGATGACCTCTCTAAGAAAATAAAGGGCGGGTGGGCGGGGCTAGTACTTGCCAAGAAAAGACTGAAATTGCCAAATGGCATAATACACTAGAAGAAAATAAAGGGCGGGTGGGCGGGGCTAGTACTTGCCAAGGTAAGGCTGATTTTTATAAAATAGACCATGACTTCATAAAATGTATTAGGTTCAAAATTTTAAATGAAATCTGTAGATTTTCGGTAAATTATTTTATTGCACTTTTACTTTCTACTTGGGACCGTCCTGTGCTAACTATGTTCTCTTCTGCATGTTCTAATACTTCATAAAAAAAAGATGTCAGCTTTCCTCTATTTCTGATTTACTTTTCACTATTTTTCAGCAATTTTCCATCAGCGTCCTTTTTCCACTTTCTTCCATTTCCTTTCCCTGTTCCTTTAATTTTATTTTCTGACGTCTTTACCACTTTTTTCACTTTCTACCTTTGAGTTTGGGAGTTTTCTTTAATTTTCGTAAGTAGATATTTGCAATTTGGACTTTTTACTTCTGATTCCTTTTTACTTCCTGGGGGTAAGCAAAGGAAATATTGTAATCGAGTCCGTCGGCCGACTCTATACTTTTACGTTTTCTCAACTTTTCATGACCCCTAGAGTGCGAAGAAATAGGTCTCCCGTTTCCGTCTGTCTGTCCGTCTGTCCGTTTGTCTGCCGTCGGGATTTTTATTAGACAGATAATCTCCGAAAATACTGGGTCGATTGTTGTCAAATTTTGTATTTATACTTATTAGGAATATCATGTAGATGGTAAAACGCTAACCAAAATTTGTCTAATCATCTGTTTATTCCCCCCAAAAAATTGATGACGTTAGCTCAAATTTTGCCGAATAAATTCTACCCAAAATGTGCAAAATATGGTGAGTTTTTACTTGTGATTCATCATTGCATTCATGTTTTTTATAAATCAAATTAAGAACGAGTTACCCTATTTCCTCGAAAATGTGAAAATACAAACGTCTTTGTTTAATAACAATTATAATAATGATATTTAGAACATTTTGTCGATTGTAGCTTATTACTTCATAGTTTTGATCCTGTTTTGAGGGGACGAACTCATTCAAATCAAGCTAATTTCATACATAAACACCTTCAAGTTGTTTTTTTTTTATCGAGGATAACCCAAGGATGTACAGTAATTGAGTCCATCGGGCAATTTGGTACTTTCATATTTTCTCGATATTTCATAATCCCTAGACAAGGCCGTAGCTAGGGGGAGGCTAGGGGATGTTGAGCGTCCGCTAGATCTAGACAAGTTATAATTAACCAAATGTGAATTACAACATCGAAAATCAAAATAAAATGTAGTGTTTTATTCAATAAGCGGAGCAATAAAAAAGTCTGGGTCGTCGGCATTGTGATCCGGTTATCACAATTCATAGAAAATATCTTTTAGTTTGGTTTCTGTTTTACTCTCACGTCTACAGGTTGGTAAGTGTTATCGCTATTTGTCTTAAATTACGAGTACCATAAATTATTATTTTCAGTTCAATCTTCAGTCGCACCTCTGTTATTACATACGACAGACGTGATTAAAGTGTTTCGTTATTTTATTGATTATATAAATCACTATTCAAGAATAACAATAATACAATACTTTATTTATTAATATTACAATGCATCTGTCCAAACCCAAACTGATATACAGTATGTCCCCGGATTGAGTTTACAAGAGGAAAAAAAACTGTATTTTCTATTTTACAAAAAAATGGTATAGGAATAACATTTTTTGCTTAATTCAAAACGAATAAATTCAATTAAAACTTCAATATTCCTGGTCTGTACTCTTAAATTAATTTTTTCATATTTCTAAGTTCTTCGTTCCTTTTAGTTTTTTCGATTTTAAGGACACAGCATGATAATATTAAAATTTTAATTGCAGATTTATTCGTTTTGAGTTAAGCAAAACATGTTATTCCTATGTCATTTTTTTGTAAAATGGAAAATACAGTTTATTTTCCTCTTGTGAACTCAATCCGGGGACATACTGTATATGTCCTTCGTATCAAAAATTGTCAGTTTTAAAAACCTTACGTTTAAAATGTTCACAGTTAATTTTAGGTGCCCTGGTGTTTTATTTTCGGATAAGTGTATTATTTTGGCAGCCCATGGATATTTTTTAAATTATTTAAAACAATTGTGGAGGACTTGGTGTTCTATTTTTGGAAAATTCTGACCGGACCTGTTTTTGAATTAATTTTGGGCCCTCGTTTTTTTCTTTGAAAAAATTAAAACAATCTTGAGATTCTAGGTATTCCTGTTTGGAAAGAATTTGAAAATGCTTTGGAGCCTCTAATGTCTTTTCTTATAATAATTTAATTAAATTTCGTAGAGGATACGTCATTTGCTAAAATCAGTATCATCTTAACAGGTACTAGCCCCAGCCGCCCGCCCTCTATTTTCTTAGAGAATATGTCATTTGCCAAAATCAGGCTTAACAGGTACTGGCCCCACCCACCCGCCCTTTCTTTTCTTAGAGGGTATCTCATTGCCAAAATCAGTTTTATCCTAGCAGGTATTCGCCCCGCCCACCCACCCTCTCTTTTCTTAGAAGGTATCTCATTTGCCAAAATCAGTCTTATACTAGCTAGTAACTGCTAAGATAAAAGACTGATTTTGGCTAATGAGATCCCTCTAAGAAAAAAGAGAGCGAGTGGGCGGGGTTAGCACTTCTTAAAATAAGATCGATTTTGGCAAATGACATACCTTCTAAGAAACGAGAGGGTGGGTGGGCGGGGCTGGTATCTCCTAAGACAAGGCTGATTTTGGCAAATGACATTCATTAAGAAAAAAAGAGGGTGGGTGGGCGGGGCTAGTAACTGCTACGATAAAACTGATTTTAGCAGATACTAGCTATCTTGACAGCTACTAGCCCTGCCCACCCACCCACCCACCCTCTCTTTTCTTAGAGGGTATGTCATTTGCCAAAATCAGTCTTATCATAAGCTACTAGCCCCACCCACCCACCCGCCCTCTCTTCCCTAGGAGGGTATGTTATTTGCCAAAATGAGTCTTATCTTGACAGTTACTAGCCCCGCCCACCCTCTCTTTTCTTAGAAAGTATGTCATTGCCAAAATCAGTTTTATCTTAGCAAGTACTGATGACTAACTTTTACAAAAAATGATCAAAATTTGGAAACATTACGAGCTCACTTACATGCACAAGACAGGAATTTTGAACATCTTCTCTAGTGTTTGGTTGGTTATACTTTAATGGTTTTTTCTTTTGTTGGTTTTGTTTTTGTTTATGATTTATAAATGTCTTATTAAATGTTTTTTTTCGTTTATTTATTAAAAAACAACAGCTTGTTTTACTAATAATAATGCACACCGATAAATGACTACTGGTTGTTATGGTTATTGTCCTAAAAAAATAAAAGGTGGATTTCAGTCACCATCGTTATTTTACTAAGCAATCAGAAAGTAAGTCGGAGGTATTCACACATTAGATGCGTGCAGTGTTGCCAATTTTATTTTTATAAAATTACGTTTTTTTCGTAATCTACATCATAAAGATTTTTTTACGACACCCGGTATTACAACACATTTTACAATTTAATTGAATCTGCAAATTCGTTTATCAATGGATTCATATTTCATGACGCCATTACAAAATTTTATTATGAAACATTCACTTGCAACATACGCATAGCATGGTTTTTTACCTGTACTTTAACAATCCATACAAGTTTTTATTTCTATAGGCGTTTATTTGAATTTATTTAATAATAGTGTTAATTTAGATATTTTATGCAGCCTGTTTGCTAAACATACGGCACAAATTCAGGGGGTTATTCCATGGCTTATTTGAATATTTTTTTACTGTTGGATGATTTTCGGAAAGACACTTTGTTTTGAAAATTATGATAGTCTTTCACATTAACTTGTGTTCACTTATTTTATTGTCCTTATTAAAGTGTGTATATTTCAGTATAGTTATTTAGTTAAGTATTGTTGTTAATTTGTAGTTACTTAATTAGTGTGTAGAGCGTATTATTATCCGCATCGTGTTTCCACTGTAAACAACACCCATTACCCCATTATTATAATTATAATCTCGTTTCATCACTCCCCGAAAGCCAGCGGAAACCTTCAAATTCAAAAATGCAACCACCGAACCGACGAAATTTCAACCCCTTTCCGAGGCCATGGATGAAGGACACAGGAGCAGCGGCCGCCAGCGGAGGCAAAGGCTTAAAAGGCGTCGTTGCCGGTAAACCCTCTTCCACCGTAATTAAATTCATATTCGAACTTCATTTATCAAAAAATCATTTTTAAGGGGGTCTAACCGGAGGAATAGAAGTCTGCATCACCTACCCAACTGAATACGTTAAAACTCAGTTGCAACTCGACGAGAAAGGGGATCGAAAGCAATACGACGGCATAATCGACTGTGTGAAAAAAACCGTCAAGAAACACGGATTCTTCGGCCTTTATCGCGGCCTCAGCGTCCTTATTTACGGTTCGGTTCCGAAGGCCGCTGTTCGATTTGGCACTTTCGAAAATCTGAAGAAATTAGCCGTCGATGAGAGAGGCAATTTAGGGCCGTATCAGCGATTTTTCTGTGGTTTAGGCGCGGGTGTGAACGAGGCGATTTTCGCGGTGACGCCTATGGAAACGATCAAAGTGAAATTCATTAACGACAGACGAAGTCCTAATCCACGTTTTAAGGGCTTCATTCATGGCGTAGGGCTTATTATCAAAGAGCAGGGCATCGGGGGTGTCTACAAAGGGGTCGTGCCTACGATAATAAAACAGGGCTCAAATCAAGCCATACGTTTCTTCGTCATGGAAACTTTTAAAGACTGGTATCGTGGTGGAGATCCTAACGCAAATGTTCCTAAACCTGTAGTTGGAGTCTTTGGAGCCATAGCAGGAGCTGCATCGGTGTTCGGAAATACGCCAATCGATGTGGTTAAGACGCGCTTGCAAGGGTTAGAAGCGCATTTGTACAAAGGAACGCTGGATTGTATCGTGAAAGTTTGGAAGAATGAGGGACCTGCTGCGTTTTATAAAGGGACGGTGCCAAGATTGGGACGGGTCTGTATGGATGTAGCGATCACTTTTATGATTTATGATTCGATCATGGATCTTTTTAATATGCTGTGGCGTTGATTTCCAATGGGATATTTTGGAAGAATTTTCTGACAGCGAATTTCACTAGTTGTCGGTAAATTATGAATCTACTGATTTGTATATTCCCAGTCGTGTGTGATTTTTGTTTCTCGATTTTGTTTATTTTGTTATGTTTTATTAAAAATATAAAATGTATAAAATCGATTCATTCTGATTGTGTTTTCTTCAACTCATTAGACATACTATGTTACAAATTGTACAATGGAAAATCTATAAAAAAATGTCATTTACCAGTACTTTCGTTTACATGGCAACAGAGTTGCAAGCATTTTTCAAACAATGTTTGTGCAAAACATTTCTCGTACAACCTGACACAAATTTGGTGTTGCTGACCTTAAAAGATAATATTTTCAAAAAAGGTCAAAAGATTAATAATGCACTGTATTTGATTTTTGATTCATCCTTGTTTTGGTAGCCCTACTTCCAGGTTATGACTCTCCTTCAAATCCCGTCTTCTCCTGTCCTCCATTTTGTATATTTTCTCCGTTTAGCCTCAAAATTTCGAAACTAATTCTAAGGCTCAGTTGTATCATTACTGCAATAACAACTTTATTTCCAAGTAGATAACCTAACATTAACATAACAATCTGCCAATAATCTAAATTTACACCATAAAAAATACTATCTTTGTCTAACACAAAAGCCTAATTAAAAAAAAGAGCAATTACTAAACTTACCTGACTTAAGATATTTACTCTTGCTTAAACATGAATTTAATTTTTAATTATTTCCTGGTCCTGGCATCATCCTATCGTCCATCGCTTCTCTCTCATATGTTGTTAGTTGTGATCGTGACATAATTGATAAGAAGATAAACCATGAGGTCACTCAATGTAATCCTCGCACAACCTTTGATTATCGCAGTGTCTTTCCAAATCCATTTCACCGAAGGTCGTTCAAAAACTTCTACATTCCACAATGCAGCGGAATGGACAAAATTTCAACCCCTTTCCGCGGCCTTGGATGAAGGATACGGGGGCGGCCGCCGCAGCCGGGGGACAAGGTCTAAAGGGCATTATTGCAGGTAAGTCTTGTTTTAATGTAGTTAAGGGAACCCACTCAAAGTAGACGGAAAAAACTATTTTACAAATAAACAACAATTAAAAAAAATACACTTTTGTACTAACAGTTCTTTGGGGGGAAATGCTCCTATGAGGAGAATCTAAGCAGACTTTTTTAAAGTAACGTTTTGTATTTTTCTTGCATGTTTTAGAAATTTAATTGGAAAAAGTATGTCTTTATATTTTGTGCCCCGCAATTTCAAAATTCTCAATAATAAAAAAAATGTTTAATGAGAATTTCGAAACACGCTTCGTGCAGATAAGGAAGAAAATTTGTTTCAAGCCGCATATATTGTCATAATATTTATATACCTAATTATCAAACACATGACTTTCTTGCTACATTATTACATAACAATTTAAATTTTTTTTAAATTTCTTCCTCGATGCCTAATAATTTGCTAAAAGTACGTTTATATAGTTGGAAGGAGTTCGTTATAATTATTATTTTAAATGTATTGCAAAATGCCTTGGGTGCAAGTTACATCGTCTTCATTTGAAATTAGTTCTTAGTTCTTAGTTTTATAGAAGTTCTTCACTAATTTTATAGTTCGTGTTTTTCTAAAGCTTTTATATTAGTGAATAATTAGAAATTGGAAATAATATTAAAGATATTTGTCGATTTTTCTTCTATTTGTACAATAATGGTATCAGTGATAATATTAGAAAAGTTACATTTAAATTCCTCTATTTTCTAATGTTTTTCCGGAAAATTATAAAAATGAGCAAAAAAAAATGGGAGTGTCATGTGAAAAGTAAATAATTTCAGTTGCTATCGCATTGATTCATTGCTTACTCACCTATTTTTACTTCCAGAGTGTAAACTAAGAAAGTATTGTAATATTCGTCCATCGGACCAATGTCTACTTTCATGTTTTCTCGACTTTTCTCTTGAAAAAATAGATTTTGCTTTTCCATCTGTCTGTCGTCTGTGCGACAGATAATCTCCGAAATTACCGGATCGATTGTTGTCAACTTTTATACTTATGATCACTTGACCATCCTTCAATTTCTACTCGGAAATCATTTGTGTTTGTATTTGTAATTTTGGTGATTGTGAAACAATTCTCTAAGTCTAAGCACTATACGTTCCCGCAAAGGCCTTAAGTATCTCCCCGAATTGAAATTCCCATTAATAAAAAAAGACCTTGCACTTGCACTGACGTTTTGTAATTTTCTGTTGCGTCTAAGAGGACATTACGGGCAAAAATTATATTTAGCCTTGTTTTTTTTTAATATATGTAATCTTCTTTTCATTACAAGAAACTTGAAACATGTTAAAAATGGTAAATTTTTGTACAGAAATATGGATTTTGCAATTAAAGCTAAATAAAAATCATCACAACTGCAATAGGGCGAGTGGGCGGGGTTAATATTTAGTCTTTTTTTTTAATATATATAATCTTCTTTTCATAACAAGAAACTAAAAGCATATTCAAAATGGTAAATTTTTGACAAATTAAAATTATTTTCAAAGGTAACTATGTCATCTTTCTTTTTTCTTTATTCTTATTTAAAGTATGTAATTTATTTTGCCATTTCAGCCAGAAAGAAAGTATGATTGTGCTACAATTTTTAACACATTTAATAAATTTAAACAAAAAGTAGGTTCATCAGAAAACAAAATCCTGTTGATAAAATTTTCGTGTTATTGTTGATATTCTGTTCATAATAATTTCGGTAAATTCAACTCTACGTTCAAAATCGTCTTCGTTTAGCTCTTGTAACAAATGGATTTTGTGTGGGTGAATTTTCGTTTTTCGTTATTGTTTGAATTGATTTTCTACTAGCTTTGTGATTCAGCGCTAATTGTTGCATTGAAGTTTTGGGATTTTCTGTTGCGTCTAAGAGTACATTAAAGGCATTTTCATCATTTGTGGCAGTTTCGAACGTTCTTTAACACTTGTCAGAAAATTGTTAAAGATTATTTCTTGTTCTCGACTTTGGAAAACGCTATTTTTAAACAATAGTGTGGATAGAATTGAAGACCTAAAAGTAAGAATTATACTTAGCAAGTACTAGCCCCGCGCACCCACCCTTTATTTTGTTAGAAGAGCAAGTCATCTGCCAAAATCTGTCTTATTTTGGCAAGTACAAGCCCCGCCCACCCACCCTTATTTTTTTAAAGGATATGTCATTTGGCAAAATCAGTCTAAGGAGTGTTCATTTTATTAAACGGACACCTTTAAAGTAACGCCAATTTTCTAATTTTTAAGCTAAATTATTCTAGTTTTTGTATATGAAAGCTTTAAATTATATCTATTAAATGCCATTTTTGTTTTCAAAATAACGTTATTTCTTTTTAAAATGAAGCGAATCGCCATTGGGACAAGAAAATTATTTTTGCAAAAGTGATGCTACGAAAAATTTCCGTTGGGGGAACTGGCTAAAATAACTAAATGTTCAAAATCAGCAGTGTTCCAAATAATCAAAAAGTTTGGGGAGTTTAATACTTTAGAAGATTTGCTCAAATCCAGACCGAGAAAAGGCCCGCTTAACGAAAATATTGAGAAAAACATCATTAAGCTGCTAAAATTAACGAAATGTATGTCTGTGCGGGAAATACCGAAGAAGCAAGGTATTACCGTAGGTACTGTACAAAATATAAAGACTCAGAATAACAGTAGAACGTATTAAAGCAAAAAATCCCAAAAAGAAGCGAAAAGCAGCGCATACAGTTTCAAAAAAAAAACGGTAAGTTATAAACAATTTTGGTCAGGAACAAAAATCGTTGTGTTTTGATGGACAACGAAACGAAGGTTAAAATGGATTGCAATACACTACCCGGCTCCCAGTTTTATAATGCAGTCGTAGGGGAAGATGTCCTCGATGACATGAAAACAAAAAAAATTGAAAAGTTTGGGAAAAAAGTCTTAGTGTGGCAAGCCATTTGTTTCTGTGGGTTAAAAAGTTTTAGTTTTTTTTTTACGATTGGAACAATTGGGGGCGATGATTACAGGAAAGAATGTATAAAAACGCGATTATCGCCTGTTTATCGCAAACATCATAACCCTCCATCGTTTTGGCCAGATTTGGCTTCGGTTCACTATGCTGGTGCCACTCAGGAGCTTCTTAATGCCAATAATGTACAGTTTTTAAAAAAGGAAGATAAACCACCCAACTGTCCTGAGCTTCGTCCACTTGAGCGATAATAGGCAAATATGAAAGCAGTGTTAAGAAAGGATGGCCGAACAACATCATGACTTGGAGAATTTAAAAAAATGTGGCCTCCTGCTACGAAGAAAATCACAAACAAACCTGTGCAAAGAGTGATTCGCGGTATTCGCGCAATAGTTAGAAAATTTGATAGTTTCTGAATATAATTGATTAGAGAATAAGAATAATTGTTTCATATAACATTGTTAAACATGTTTATAAAAAAAAAAATTAAATTAGCCCAAAGTACTCGAATTAGTAGCAATTTTTCAGTGTCCGCTTTATAAAATGAACATTCCTTAATCTTAGCTAGTGCTGACCCCGACCACTCTTCCTTTATTTTCTTAGAGAGTAGGTCATTTGTCAAGATCAGTTTTATTTTGGCAAAAACTAGCTGGCCCACCCGCCCTTAATTTTCATTAGAGGATATCTCATTACCCAAAATCAGTGTTATCTTAGCAAGTACTAGCCCCGCGCACCCACCCTTTATTTTGTTAGAAGAGCAAGTCATCTGCCAAAATCAGTCTTATTTTGGCAAGTACAAGCCCCGCCCACCCACCCTTATTTTTTAAACGATATGTCATTTGGCAAAATCAGTCTAATCTTAGCTAGTGCTAACCCCGACCACTCTTCCTGCCACCCGCCCTTAATTTTTATTAGAGGATATCTCATTACCCAAAATCAGTGTTACCTTAGCAAGTTCTTATATTTTGCCTTTTCTCTTAATATAGCCATCTTTTCACAACAACAAACTTTAGAGAACGGTTAAAATGGTCCATTTTTGCAAGAAAATATGGATTTTGCAATTATAAGGCGGAGCCTAATTGCAAAATCGATATTTCCTTATACAAATTTTCCATTTTAAACATGTTTTAAGTTTCATGTTGTGAAAAGAAGTCTACATATATCAAAACAAAAAAAAAACAATATGTAAGCCCGCCCACCCGCCCTATCTCAATTGTAATGATTTTTTTTATTCGTCGTGAAAAAGGGGTGGAGCTTAAGTGCAAAATATTATTTCTTTACAAGAAATTAAAAACATGTCTTTGAGGATCGTGTTGTTCAAAGAATACTATGTATATTAAGAAAAAAATACAAAATATAAACAACGGCCGCCCACCCACCCTATCTCAATTGTGATGATTTTTTTTATTCTTAGAAACCTAAAACACGTTTAAAAGGGTGAATTTTTGTAAGGAAATATGAATTTTGCAATTAGGCGCCGCCCTTCGGTCTGACAACGAATGAAAAATTGATCACAAGTTTGCTTGGGAATCTTGGGATGGATATGGGTGGGTCTTAATTTTTGGCTTCTTTTTTTCTTAATATACTCGTACATAGTATTCTTTGAACAACACAGTGTAATTAAGAGACACCACAAAAATTCTCGAGTAATGGAAAACTTATGTTTTGTAGCGCTTAAGATTAGAATGATTTTGAAATTTCAAATTTCGCGCGGATGGTACACTTTTCTTTGCGTAGATTTAGTGACTTTTCTATCACTCAATCTCTCACCGTACGCAGTATAGGAATATTGTGTGGGAGATAAAACGCTAACCAAAATTTTTCCACATCAGATTTTATAATTTTTTCCAAATTGTGTTTGTTCGATTGTATTTACGAGCTGAGGAAAGTCCTGTCTAAACCACCTCAGATCAATTTGTCACTAAATGGATTAAATTTGGAATAAAGAAGGGAATTTATCATGCTTTTGTATAAATATACTGAACATGGTTTCGCTGGCGTAGTTGAAGACCATTATTACTACTCGTAAGTTTTAAGTAAAAATCGCCATAAAAATATTTTTCCTTATACAAACTTTGTCACAACCTTTCATCTCATTAGGGGTGGAAAAAATCTGAAATAATGTTTCATTATTTGTGTTGAAGAGTATTAATACCAAGTTCCATGTACAAATTTACAATAGAAATATTTTTTCCATACAATTTGAGCTACCAAAGGGTAAACTTAGGGTTTTTGTTTTAACTTTTAGGTATTTGGATTTCACTTTGTTCATATTTCATGTTCATATCATGTTTATTTCGTTTGTTATTAATTTTTTCCATGTTTACTTCTTTAGCGTACGCTCGAGATAGTAATCAAGTCCATCGGACGAATGACCACTTTTATGTTTTCTCGACGTTTCATGACCCCTACAGTACGAAAAAAGTAGTCTGCCGTTTCCGTCTGTCTGTCTGTCTGCCTGGTGTCTATTCATTTTTGTTCGACACGTAATCCCCGAAACTGCTGGACTGATTGTTGTCAAATCTTGTATGTATACTACAAATATCATGCAGATGGTTAAATGCTAACCAAAATTGGCTACTCATCCCCACAGACAATTTGATGATGTCATTTCAATAATCAGTATTTTAAAATGATTTAAATGTTATACAAAAATATACTCCTTTACTTGTAGTGTAGGAATCCGTTTTCAGTTTTTTCACTAAACATTCAAATATTCGCAAAAAATATGCAAGGTATAATAACGTCATAGTATAGTGTCTCAAATACTACAAGGTTATATGGCCCCACTAAACTTAATAATGGGATGTTATAATTCCTTTTGTGCGGTTGGTTATCGGCCCAAGCCTAGCGTCATAAATCAAGGATTTGTCTCAATATCTTGCCACCCAGTGCAGATCCGGCTTCAGCTATATTCTGTATTTGTAAATTGTATAAAATAACTTAGTCCAACACATGTAGTTTATGATTCCGTGTTGAGTTTTTATCCGAAACGTCCAGATTTTTGGAAAAAAAATCAAAATCATAAAACAACATTTTGCAATTTAATTTTGAATCTGCAAAATCGAATGCTTTGAAATCTTGCAGATGTTTTAAGATTATGATAGGCATGATAAATTTTTAATCAAAATATAATTTACTTATCCGCTCCAAAAAATTAATGACGTCTGCTCAAAATTTTGCCGAATAAATTCTACCCAAAATGTGCAAAATATGATCATGAACCGAAAAAAATGTTTCAGACAAATTGTACGTATTTTTAGTCGTAGAATCCGAATCTGCACTAAAAAGTAGGTTGTTCCTATTTAAGATTTCAAAGTTACCCCCCGCCCCACTTTTAAGGAGTATGACAGGGGGACTAATTTAAACACCCCCACGGAATGCTGAAATTTTCATTCTAAATATTTTTTCGCAGAATGCATATTTTTCAAGATATTTGAAAGTTTCGGGTTAAAAAAATCACCCTGTATAATATGTTTGGCTTCTGTTCGGTACTGACGAATTTTCGTTATAAATTCGAATCGAAGTCTTTTCAGTAGAGCGAGCCTTTGATTTATTCCCTTGTAACAGAAACCTACATTTCTCAGATTTTCGAAATTTTCTTCTTAGTATTTAATCTGACAACCTTTTTTTGCTAATTCTTCCATCGCATTTTTCATTGTTGGAACAATGTTGCGTTTGTAGGATTGGTATATGGTATTCTTAATATCTGCGTCCAAATTTACATCGATTTTTGAAAATTCTGTGTTCGGTCGGCTTCGTTTTTCAAAATTAGGGTTTTGTATAATTTTTTGCACAGTGGTATATGAAACTTGGGTTAATTCACTTGTCACTTTTATCCGAGCGGCACAGTTTTTTTTAAATTAATCCTGAGTAAACATTGAAATCATTTTTTTTGTATCCAAAGATAGATGTTGCCGTTCTCTAAAATGATTTTCCCAAGGCCGAAACATGTTTTAGAAAAAGTACAAACTACTGGAACTAGACACAACAACTGCGAGATTTAAATTCAGAATGAATAACCAACAACTCCCTTAGATAAATATTCTAAAGTCTAATTACTTGCGGCAGTATCTATTAAATTAATCACACATTTAATGAGACGTTCTGCGACGCCTGATTGGCATAGAGTCGGTCACGTGTTAGTTTAATGCCGTATTAAAAATTTAGTCGCAAACACATATTTAATTGAGCTTGTGTAAACCGACTCTAAATATGTAATTTAATATAATTTAATTTAAAGTATAACAATACTGCTATACTACTATACCTTTTTGTAAATCAATATTATAAGGTTTTATTTACTTATTATTATATGTCGAAATGTTCAGAAATGGAAAATACACATTACAAATGAGTCCAAAGGCGAAATGAAATCATAAGTATATAACTAATTCGCTCAGAACGTAGCCAGCCGTTTAAAAATTTAAAACTGATTTGTTTTGTGACGTCACAAGCTACTTCAAAGTTCAAACTCCAACATTTTTAATCTCGCAAATCCGGAAACTTAAAAACGAGTGGGTCCTTTATAATTAAAATCTAAATATTAAACAAAAATGATTGTTAAATGCAATTTGTTCAAGGGGGCATAACTGGAGGCATAGAAATCTGCATCACCTACCCCACTGAGTACGTTAAGACCCAGTTGCAACTCGACGAAAAGGGCACCCGAAAACAGTACGATGGCATAGGCGACTGTGTGAAAAAAACCGTCAAGAGGCACGGTTTCTTCGGCCTTTATCGCGGCCTCAGCGTCCTCCTCTACGGCTCGATTCCAAAAAGTGCCGTCCGATTTGGCACTTTCGAACACCTGAAGAAATTCGCCGTCGACGACAAGGGCAATCTGGGGCCTTACCAACGCCTACTATGCGGTCTAGGTGCTGGTGTGAACGAAGCAATTTTCGCAGTGACGCCTATGGAAACCATCAAAGTGAAATTCATCAATGACAGACGCAGCGCCAATCCCCGTTTTAAGGGTTTCCTGCATGGCGTCGGTCTTATTATTAAAGAGCAAGGCGTCGGAGGCATCTACAAAGGGCTCATGCCTACGATATTAAAACAGGGCTCGAATCAAGCCATACGTTTCTTCGTTATGGAAACGTGTAAAGATTGGTACCGCGGTGGCGACCCTAAAGCTCATGTTCCTACAGCTGCAGTTGGAGCGTTCGGGGCTCTAGCAGGAGCTGCTTCTGTGTTCGGAAATACTCCCATTGATGTGGTCAAGACGAGAATGCAAGGATTAGAAGCACATTTGTACAAAAATATGGTTGATTGTGCTGTCAAAGTATGGAAGAACGAAGGACCTGCCGCGTTTTATAAAGGGACAGTGCCAAGGCTGAGTCGGGTTTGTTTGGATGTTGCCATTACGTTTGTGATCTACGATTCGATCATGGAAATTTTCAACAAAGCATGGCCTTGATTTTGATTTTCGTCGGGATGGGATTTATATTGTGTACAAGTGAAATTTTATAGGATTTTTTAGGTACAAAAAGCATTCCAGGAAGAGCCTGTAAATTATTTTGCTATTTATTTTTGATATTGGTCTGTACATTCCCAATTGTATATGGTTTTTGTTCTAGATTTTATCTCGTTATGTTTTATCATAAATATAAAATGCATTTATTGGTTTATGCTTTCACTCTAACATGAATACTACCAACCTGGTTGAAATTTACCAGCCGGGAGTAGTATTTGCCAATCTTCGGATCCTTCTGGTGTTTCTGTCTTGATCTCTGATTTTCTTTTCCATTTCGGCGTCGGTTAAAGTTTCCAGGAATGGGGCCCACTGGTCGCTTTCGCTGGGTGTTCTGAATGGAACTTCCACGGTAGGTAAAGGGGCTTCACTGTAAGCGTAGGTTCTTTGGTGCCAGGATAGTTGTCCCCGTATTGAGTAAGCAATTGCCGTCACAAACTCGCCACCCAAACCAAGCTCGGAACATAGAGTAAGAGCAAACTCTTCTGGATTGTTTTGCTTCTCAGACATGTCCCACTCCACCTATTTTAATTTTAAAAATATTCAATCTGTTCCCGTCTTCCCACTATGAGGACAAAATAGTGTAACATCGTTTAGACAAAAATAAAAACAATTAAAAGGGGAGCAATGGCAACTGCTACAATGATATTCGATTTGTGATTTCACAGTGATTATTATTTGACTGTCGTAAATGGTAAAACATTCAAGTGTTCTGCAGGGTTAACAAAATGAGCTTGAAAATGTAATTTCGGGCCTGTGTTTCATAGTTCTTTCTACAAAACTTTTGACTAAATAAAATAACTCAGCGAAATAGAAAAAGGAGGTGGGCGGGGCTAAGTTTAGCTTTTTTCTAGAGTCGTATAAGCAAGCAGTTGGCCCGCCCACCCACCCCTCCTTCTTTCTAATGACTACTCTTAATATTGTTAATCATTGACAATTGACAACGTTATTATCTTATAGAAAATAGATAAATTGTTCAACAAAGTATCTAATAAAGTATTACGCTGGTGTCAAAAATCTAGAATCTTTACAATTCTAAGAATCCAAAAGTTCCAGAAGTGTCAAAACAATTATATAATTTCAAACTATAAAAGGGGCGCAAATGGTAAAATATTTGTCCGTCTTGGAAATTTCAAAAATTCTATCAATTAGAAAATACTGAAAACTCTAAAGATTCTACAAATTCCAGATACTTCATAATGCCAAAATTATATAAAGGTTAATATTTTCAGTAATTCCAGAGATTTAACTGCAAAAATCCACTAAAGAATAGTAATTTGAAAAATCCATGGACTCCAAAAATAATAAAAATTTTTAATCTTTCTAAAGAACTTAGGAAATTCAGAACTTATAGAGTCAAAAATTTAGAAATTTTAAAATTCTGAAGTTCCAAGTGTCAAAAATTCTAAGAATTTAAAAATTTCAAAATATGTACTTTTTAAAAATAGAATTTTACCATCTCCAAGAGGGTCGTAAATAGCAAAACTGTAAGTCAATAAACTATAAAATTCAAAAACCCTCAAAGATTCTACCAATTGCAGATACTTTATAATGCCAATAATTACAAAAAAGTTAATATTTTTAGAATTTCCAGAGATTTCAACAATTCCAAGAATTTCGAAAACTTAAAACATTCTAATAATTCAGAAATTATAAAAATTAAAAAATTTAACCCTCCTAGTTGTAATATGTAACTCAAAAAACATAAAAAGTTAAAACAGCACCAATCTATTAAAGAATGACAATTTGAAAACTCCATTGATTGCAAAAATTGCAAAAATGTCCGAAATTTTGTAAAAACTCCTAGAAAACGCAGAACTTCCAAAAATGAAAAAAATTCTAACAACTTACAATTTTCAAAATATTGTTTAATAATAAAAATTCGAAAATTTTAAATGGGCAGCAAAGAGCCCATAACCTGTAACTCCTAAAAATTTCAAAAATGGTTGAAATTTTGAAATAAAAAAATCCAAAAAATTCAGAACGTCTGAAAGTGACTTTGTTTTAAATCTTACATTCTACTGCTTGTCAAAATCGTACTCAATCCCATTTTACAGTAATAAAATAAATCCGTGAAATACAGAAAGAAGTGGATAGGGTGAAGTTTAACTTTTTCTACAGTCTTCGACTACGCAGTAGCCCCGCCCACCCACCCTCTCTTCTTTCTAATGACTACTCTTAATATTGTTAATTATTTTCAAAGTGATTATCTTATAGAATCTTAGATAAATCTGCTAAGCCGTTGGTGAGAGAATAGATAGGAAGTATTAAGCTGGTGTTAAAGTGTCAACAATCTAGAATCTTTACAATTCTAAAAATCCAGACGTTCCAAAAGTGTCAAAATTTGTAACAATTTTGAAATTTCAAACTATAAAAGGGGCGTTAATGGTAAAATATTTGTCAGTCTTTGAAATTTCAAAAATTCTAAAAATTAGAAAATTCTGAAAACTATAAAGATTCTACAAATTCCAGATACTTCATAATGGCAAAATTATATAAAGGTTAATATTTTCAGTAATTTCAGAGATTTAAACAAATAGGAGTACAAAATTGTGATAATTACAAAAGTTATAATAATTCAGACATTATAAAAATTTAATAATTGCAAAAATCCACTAAAGAATGGAAATTTTAAAATTCTAAAGTTCCCAAAGTGTCAAACTTTCTAAGAATTTTAAAATTTCAAATATTCCGAAAATTTACAAAAATCTATCGAATAGGGGAACTTCAGAAACTCCAAACATTGTAAACTATAAGCTTGAAATTTTGAAAATTTCTAGAAATTTTAGAAAACTCAGAACTTCCAAAAGCGTTAAAAAATTTAGAAACTTCAAAATTCCAAAAGTGTCAAAAATTCCAAAAATTAAAAAATTTCGACAATTCCTAAAATTCAATAAACTAAAAAAATTCAAAAAGCTTTAAAGAGTCTATCAATTGCAGATACTTCACAATGCCAATAATTACCAAAAAATTAATATTTTTAGAATTTCCACAGATTTAAACAATTCCAAAAATTTCGAAAATTAAAAAAATTCTAATAATAATTCAGAAATTATAAAAATTACAAAACTGAACCTTCATAGTTCTAATCTGTAACTCAAAAACATAAAAATTTAAAACAGCACCAATCTATTAAAGTATGACAATTTGAAAACTCCATTGATTCCAAAAATTGCAAAAATGTGAAATTTTGAAAAAATTCTTAGAAAATTCAGAACTTCCAAAAATGGAAAAAATTCTAACTTATAACTTCAGAAACTCCAAAAATTGTAAACAATAAGCTTGAAATTTTGAAAATTTCTACAAATTCTAGAAAACTCAGAACTTCCAAGTGTCAAAAATTCTGATAATTTAAAAATTTCAAAATATTAAAAAATAATAGAATTCTACAATCTTTAAGAGGGTCGTAAATAGCGAAATCGTAAGTCTTTGGAAATTAAAAAATTTCGACAACTCTCAATAAACTAGAAAATTCAAAAACCTTTAAAAATTATTATTACATTATAAAAATTAATATTTTTAGCATTTCCAGAGATTTAAACAACTCCAAAAATTTCGAAAACTTAAAAAATTCTAATAATTCAAAAATTATAAAAATTTAAAACAGCACCAATCTATTAAAGAATGACAATTTGAAAACTCCATTGTATCCAAAAATTGCAAAAATGTCTGAAATTTTGTAAAGACTCCTAGAAAATTCAGAACATCCAAAAATGGAAAAAATTTTAACGACTTACAATTTTCAAAATATTTTTTAATAATAGAAATTCGAAAACTTTAAATGGGCAGCAAACAACACATAACCTGTAGCTCCTAAAAATTTCAAAAATGGTTGAAATTTTGAAATGAAAAAAAAATCAGAACGTTTGAAAGTGACTTTGTTTTAAATCCTAGATTCTACAGCTTGTCAAAATCGAATTCAATTCCCATTTTACAGTAAAAAAAATAAATCAGTGAAACGAAGAAAGGAAGTGGGCGGGATTAAGTTTCACTTTTTTCTACAGTCTTTAACCAAGCAGTAGCCCCGCCCACCCACCCTCTCTTCTTTCTAATGACTAATATTAATATTGTTAATGATTTTCAACGTGATTATCTAATGGAATCGTGGACAAATCTGCTAAGCCGTTGGTGAGAAAATAGATAAATTGTTCAACAAGGTATCTTGAAAGTATTAAGCTGGTGTTAAAGTGTCAAAAATCTAGAAACTTTACAATTATAAGAATCCAGAAGTTCTAAAAGTGTTAAAATACAATAAATGAACGAAAAATACTGTAAGAACTTCGCTGAAGCTACTGCAGCGGAGAAATTTTACCAATAAAAAAAAATAGTTGAGGGTATATTTTAAAATTATAAGGTAAAATGAATTAGTCTTGGTATAAAATACTACGAATTTTAAGATTTCCAATTCACCAAACTTAAAAAAAATAGTTATTATTTATTTTCAATATTTTCTAGGACTTCATGTTTACTTGTTTAGATTTTGCTTATTTTCGTTCAGCATTTTTATTCATAATTTGTTTTACAATTTCCATAATTTGAAAACAAGTTTTGAATTTTTATTATCTACATTGTGCCTTAGAGCGTCTAATGCCGCTAGACATGCTGAAAACATACAGTCTCACTACCACATCGAAAAGGGTGTGGATGTTTTTTACGCGTGCGCGTTGCGCACGAAATTACGCTTCCGATTTTGCATTCAGCACGCGGGGCCGCAACTAGACACACTTCACAAACGCTTCTTCTTCATACTGACCTGATCAACCAAAGAAGTGTTGCCAACATGAATATTTAACTTGATAATAACCCTTTGATCAGACCCATCCTCTATAATTCCAGAAGGCTCAGCAGGAAACGCGTCCAACTGCTGTTTGATAGCTTGGGCAATTGCTGGCACAAAAGTTAGAGGGTTCAGATCCAGGTCATCACACAAAACTTCAGCAAATTGTTCTGGGGTGATCAAACTCTCTACAAAACAAAAATTATTTTTTCTCCAGCAAAAACCACCAAGTACCGTTTTTATTCCAGGTGAAAGTGTCTCTCAACTTCTGCCCCTCAATTTCCATATCTAGTCTGATTGGGACCAGCAGTTCACCTTGGCAAGCATTTTGGGCATTAAGGTCTGGATCTGTGTCGTCAAAACACAGTGGAAAAGTGCGCACTTTCTTCGCAGCTACGCGGTTTCTATTAATGGGGGTTGCTTGTGGTACAGCATCTAAATGACTCGAGTTAGGTAAAGATGGTACCCATTGCATTGACTTTTTTGACTTGCTTTCACGCGGCATTGGGGGGTCTGAGGTATGCACGGACACTGCTTTGTACCTGGCAAGACAATAGAAAAACTTAAGAAAAGTCTAGGTGGTTCAGTGTGCTTACTTTTCATCGTTGCCTTCAATGATATCTTCGACTTCTGCAGCCCGAAGTAAAGATACGCTACTGGCCAAAACGTGCTGACTTAACCCTAGTTCGATTAAGCGTTTTCGTTCCTCGTTGGTGATCGAGCGTCTGAACATGCCAGGGTACTTCTTGTAGAGTGACCCCCTGAAGAGGCGTAGATAGTTGCCGACTTCGGATCCCACACAGTAATACTCGCCATTCTCTTCTAGTTGAAATGTTATGGGTTTTTCGCCAAACGTTCGAACTGCCATTGCAATTCGATTCTTTTTTGTCGACTGTTGGATTTTGATCAATCGGCGTCTACGTTTCCAGGTTATGTTTTGTGTTCTGTCACTTGTCATTTCAATCAGTCCTATAAAAAAATAAACGAAAATCCCTAAAAACATAACCTCAAAATTATCCTTGTGAGAGAGTCTATTTATACCGCAAATGCACGGTAAATCTATTTCTAGCATTAATTCATGACTGAAATGTGCCAAGCTGCGCCTTGGCATGAGTCTAGGTCCCGAATCCGTACTAACCCTTGGCACGAACTTCTTCAAAACCATCTTCGCCCGTGTACAAGAGTACGCACGAGAAACCGTGGAGCACTTAATTTTGGCAGTATCTGTGTACATTCTAGTATGCATTTTTCTATACTTTTCGATATCTCGATGGAAGATCATCGGGTTCAAAAAGGACGTCAAAAATCCCGCCCGAGTACTTATAGTGATCGCACATCCTGATGATGAGTGCATGTTCTTTGGACCGACGGTGCTGAACTTCACCAAACAAAAGGAGTGTCAAGTTTATCTGATGTGCTTGTCGACAGGTTAAGAAAGTTCGTTGTATAAATTGTAATAATCGGATGGTTGCAGGTAATAACTATGGAATGGGGCGAACGCGCAAGAAGGAACTGTACAAAGCGTGTCAGGTTTTGGGAATTGATGAAGGTAGCATTGTTGTATATAATCACTCAAATATGCCAGATCAAATGGGAGTCATGTGGCCTATTGAACTAGTCTCTAAGTTAATACTGAACCAAATTGAGACGTATAGTATTAACACGTTAATTACTTTTGACAAACACGGGGTCAGTAACCACATGAACCATTGTAGCATTTATTATGCCATTGCCCATCTTAGTTTAGAGAAAAAGTTGCCCAGTTACTGTTCAGTTTATGTACTTGAGACAGTTAATCTGTTACGGAAGTACTGGTTGCTTCTGGATATTCCCGTTTCGTTTCTTTTGTCAAGGATAAGGTTAGTTTCAGGTGGTGTTTTTTCTGGAGTAACTGTGTGTTCTAGGTATCTAGTCACATCCACTGATCGTGCCCTTTTACACAGAGCTATGAGGCAGCATGAGTCCCAGTTAGTTTGGTTTAGGCGTCTGTATATGCTTTTCTCGAGGTATATGTTGATTAATTCACTCCAGTTGATGGAATTATCCGACATAGAGTTAGACTTAGAAATAGATGACTAAATTAAAATGACAATTTTTGATACACTTTGTAAATACAAACTACCTCTCACTTTTGTTGTTTTTGTGCCAAAGTCTATGATGCTTCTGGTTATGTAAGTTTTTATGAATTTTAATAAAATTCTGTTTATAAATTAGTTTTATTAAAAAAAATTGATATATTTTACAAAAATCACAACAAAAATTGAAGACATTCTTAAACGACCCTTCGTACCTCAAAGAATCGCTTTAAATAGTACACCTGTCCGACGGTCATTGCCACTAGAATTAAAGCTTCAAAGAACGACCACATGACCACTCTTGAATTCGTGCTTTCGTTGATACTGCGGTGAATACGATCTCTGACTTGCATGTATTCTTGTTCTTGCTTGACGCCAGTCAGCGATGCTGAAGAAAAACGTCAATAAAATAAAAAAATTTTTTTTTTTTCATACCGCTCAATTCGCGAATCATATCTTCCAATTTATTAGTATTTTCACCCTCTTGTGCCTCCGCTTTCGGAGATTCACCTATCGCCATATTGAACATGACGACTTTTGGGGTCATTGTTGACATTTTATTCGAGAAACAGTACGTATAAGTTCCTGGAGTGTGTGCTGAAAATGTGTACTTTCCTGACGTTTCTCTTTCACCTTGATAAATAACTTTATTATCAGGTCCAACGATTCGGACATCAATATCCAAAAATCCACCTTCCGCTATCTCAAAAGTGAGACCTAAAAGCCAGCTTTACCGGGTCGCGCTTATACCACAATATACCAACCCATTTTAGTCCCAGTTTCCACTTTATCAAAAAAGCATTCCTCTGCGTGCGCGTCCACCGTAATAAAATATCCATACGATGAACTAACACACGTAAGAGTCAAAAGTATCAGAATTTTGGAGCACATATTTCTGATTAATTTTTAAAACTACGGCCACGTAACCTCGCACCCGTTGACAAGTGACTGAGCGTGACACCAATCGCGCCTGAACAAATATCCCTAACTCTCACCCCGTCAAGTGTCAATTGGACATCTGTCAAAATTTGTTTATGTTTCAGGCCGCAAAAATTATTCTCACAAAATGAGTGTGGTTCGTGAAAAAAGGGAGACGATTCCACGACCTTTGCCCCTCGTTGAAGCGTCGAAAAACATCACCCCTGAAGATGTACTCAGATTAACAAAAATCACAGATACGTATTTGTGTGACCCCGATGCTAACATTTATGACATAGACTTCACAAGGTTTAAAATCCGGGATCTGGAGAGTGGCGCCGTCCTGTTCGAAATTGCTAAACCTGTCCCAGAGAATGTTGACGAGAATTCAGAGAAAAACCAGGAGAACGACGAACCCATCGATCCCAATTCTGGTAGGTTTGTGAGGTACCAATTCACGCCACAATTTCTAAAATTGAAGACCGTCGGTGCCACGTAAGTTTTCCGCTTTAGTTGAAACTTCAATCAGGTGGAGTGTTTCCAGTGTCGAGTTTACTGTGGGTGGTAAACCAGTCAATCGATTTCGAATGATCGAGAGGCATTTCTTCAGGGATAAACTTCTCAAAACGTTTGATTTTGAGTTTGGGTTTTGCATTCCATATTCACGAAATACGTGTGAGCATATTTATGAATTCCCTGTGCTACCCCCAGATTTAGGTAACTCATTACGCAGTACAGTGGTCTTGTGATTTTTATTGTGTGTTGTAGTTAATGAGATGATTGCGTCTCCCTTTGAGACTCGCTCTGACAGCTTCTATTTCGTCGACGACTCCTTAATTATGCATAATAAAGCTGATTACGCTTACAACGGGGGGATGTCGACATAACCTCGAAATTTATACAGGGTTGTTACAATAAATTTTGATGTATACTGATTGAAGGATGAACCACTTTATTGTATTTCACAGTTTTTTTTGTGTTGCACTGTTACACGTTGATAGCTTGATGAAATATAGCACGCAGCTTTTTCTACGTTTTGAGACCAAAGTCTCTTTATTTGTAGAAAGACTTGAATAAAATTAATCAAAGTGAATATGCAATAAATTTAGATGGTAATCTTTGCACGAATTGCAGGACTGGAGAAAGCAGGGGCTTAGAGGGACACAGTCCCGGTTATTTCTTTTAAGGTAGAACTAGAGAGTAGTTCCTTTTGATTCTGAAACCGATTTTTACCACTCGACACTGTGTTTCACTAGGATTGTGATAAATATAAATGTGTTCTAAATTGTGTAAGGGATTTATGTACATTTAAATGCATTTATTTACAAAATATACGATTTAATGACACTAGCTTTTGTTTAGAAAATGTACCGTGTCTTGAAGAAACTCTGTAGGTTTCTCACTGTGCAGCCAGTGACCTGCTCCTTCGATATATTTAAGCTCAGCGTTTGGGAAAAATCTTTTAATCCCAGCTTCGTCACTTCTCCTATGAATGAAACACAAAAAAACAAATAACTTTACGTCCGGTAAAACTCACTGAATGTAATCTGATTTTCCACCTCCAATAAACAAAACAGGTCCGCTATAAGTCATGTTACCTGTGGCCGGAAATTTAGCTATATCTCCAAAATTTGACATTAAAGCTGGAATGTTAATCCTCCATGAATAACTACAACTCATTATAAGAAAATTGGTCTTGTGAAACACTATAAAAGTACCTCCCATCTTCCGCTTGTATTAAATTAGTCAATAAAAAACTCCGTAACCCTTTATCACTCAGACTTCTAGCCAGGTACGAATCAATTTGTGCGCGAGCCGTTGACAAAGGCATTTTATGTGGTAACTGCACATTTTTCAAAATTCCAAATAACCCTGGCATTGTTTTTAAATTAGGGCTAGTCGTGACTGGTGAAATATCAGCCACAATCAACCTTTCTACAAGACTAGGCTACAATACATTTTTCTCAAGCCGTACCTTTCATTATACATATTTCAAAGCAAAAAGCATGACAGCCCGTCCGCCCATCGAGTGTCCCAGTAGAGCCACTTTACTGAAATTTAAATTTTCTATTAAATATTTTAAATCCGCAACCATATATTCATAGCTATGTTGTGGTGTATGGGGGCTATCACCGTGGTTACGGGCATCCACTGCTATAACTTTCCGGTTCGTTTTATTATGGTACACTTTACACAGACTATTCCAGTTGGCTTTTGAACCAAAGAGGCCATGGTTCACTATTAGAGGTATCGGGGACGGTGCGATAATAGGAGAAGTACTTTCGTATGCAGCGTACGCCAAGCGTACTGGTTGTAACTGAGAAAGTGCTCTTACTGCAAATTTTGAGTTATTTGAAATCACGGACAATTTTTGAAAAATCATTATGCCTAAAATTTTGAGGTTATGTAACTTGTTAGGGATTTTGTTGTGTTGGCAGAGGTTACTAAAAAAAGTCGTATCACGCCATGAACTTCGAATTCGACTTTACATTGAGTTTTTTTGTGTGAAATTCTTTCATCTATCGTCGCTGCGATTTAAAAATTGTTAATTTTTTGCAAAAACAGCACGAAAATCGTTTTTTTGTATCGCGCCACTTCCTATTGGCACTCCTACCCTAGGGGAATACGTTATACGTCATCTGTCATTCCATCCGATCAAGATTAAATAGGCGATTTTTGTGTTCGTGCTGTTTTTAATGTTATTAGACCACGAAAAGACAAAATTAATGACATCTAGACCAAGTTGAAGTGATTCGGATCGAAAATTTCGAAAATGGCACGTGATTACGACCACCTGTTCAAGTTACTGATAATCGGCGACAGCGGTGAGTGTGGGCGGGGTTATCAGAGTAATTTCAGCAGAAGAATCTTTAATTCGATTAATTTCAGGCGTCGGCAAGAGTTCTTTGCTGTTAAGGTTCGCTGATAACACATTTTCAGGGAGTTACATAACCACAATCGGTGTAGATTTTAAGATAAAAACTGTGAGTCTCGATGGGCAGAAGGTGAAGTTGCAGATATGGGATACGGCAGGACAGGAAAGATTCCGCACCATAACTAGCACGTAAGCGTTGAAAAAAACGCAGAAACTCGAAATTCATTCGATATTGCAGGTATTACAGAGGGACTCATGGGGTTATAGTAGTGTATGATGTTACAAATGGAGAATCATTTGCCAACGTCAAGCGGTGGCTGCACGAAATCGAACAAAATTGTGATGTAGTTAATAGAGTATTAGGTATGTGGTGAATGGAACTTATCAGTAAATAGTGAACTGGGTCATGTAAGGGGTGAGTTGGTTTAGAAACTAAGTAAAATAGAAAAATTTGAATTAAATGAAAAGCTCACCTCATACGCGATTTGTCACTATCTTTTTTTTATTATTTAAATTTAAATAGTAGTAACTGGTTGGTTGTAGTGGGTAACAAAAATGACACTCCAGATAGAAAGGTGGTCCTGACGGAAGACGCCCAACGTTTTGCCGACACAATGAACATTCAGTTGTTTGAAACATCAGCCAAAGACAATATAAACGTGGAGGAGATGTTTATGGCGATAACACGACTAGTGCTTAGGTCAAAACAAGAGATGAAGGAGCGACAAAACATTACGCAAAACGATACAGTAAATTTAAGGAAAAGTAACAAACAAGGCAAGAAAAAGTGTTGTTAGTTATTATAAGGGGTGTTCGAATGATTGCCGTGGGTGAATGTTTAAAATTTTATGTTGCGGCTAGTTCCTAATGGCTTTAATTGGAATGTAGGTGCTTCCACATGGTCACTGAGTGCAAGTGCGTGTCATAAAATCAAAAGCCAAATGCAGAAAAAAATATTCTTTCGTTATGCTCAAGTATTGTCTGGTTGAATACCCTGTATATAATGTATAATAATATATAAAAGAATGTATTTATTTTATAGTCAGTTTTGTCTCAGTTTTCTTTCAACTACCTAGCATATCATCGGCTTATATCTAATCAGAAATGACAATACACAAGACCAAGAGCTGAGTTGATTGTTGTGCTCTCTCGAAGGTTACAACCGATCTAGTATAATTTAAAATAAATTTCACAATAGCTCTGCATTTATTTCATATTTTTGTACAGATCGTATTTGTATCATGTAATGTAATTTACCTTCAGTAAAAATGTATCTTTGTTGTGATTGGGTTTTTCATTCAACAAAAACGACGTACCGAAAAATAATTTTATGCCATCTCACATTTACATTACGCGGCACAATCTACAATTGAAAAGACAAAGGAGACGCAACCGAACCTCAACAAGCTTCCATGGTTCAAGATAGCTGAACCTTCCCAACCGATTCTCGACGATTCGCCGACGTTGCTGCAACAGCATTCCATGGTATCCATGCTGTCCACAGCTGTCATTTTCGCTTCGAAGGAACCTTTCCTCTGCCTCACTACCTTTCGCCTCCTATCGATGATTTCTCTCACTTGCACCTCCAACGGAACTATTTTTCCATCACTTTGTTTTGGTCTTTCGGTGTTTGCATCGTTCGAAAATAACACGTTATTCACAAAAGTTCCATGCGACGAGTAATTGATTAGTTCGAAGTTTTTCGTAAACTGAAACAGATTTCACTGTTATTTTCTTTAGTGCGATTAATATTTGCCTTGCTAGTGCGGGTATTAGGACATTAGTTTTTATTTGACCTAAATTTACAAACTATAGCTCAGAAAACAGTTACACAAGTATTAAAAATGATTTAAAGAATATGGAAGTTGACCACACAAAACTGAAGCCATGTGTAGCAACCCAAAAATCATATTTATTAATGATTTAAATTTATCAACGTGTTTAAAAATATAGGAGTGTAAGATTTGAAGCGAAGTTTCTCTTACACGTTCACTTTTGTAGACGAAAAAACTTGACTTTCGTAGGGCCGGTTGCATAAACGCAAATCAAATTTAATCTCTGATTAAGAACAATTGTAACTATGATAATAACAATCGTTACTATGCAGTTAATCCGAGATTAAATTTGATTTGCGTTTATGCAACCGGCCCGTAGTATAATCTATGGATATTTTGTAATACGTAATACTAATGGTAAAAACATAGTTAACACAAGTTCTACTTCAGATAAAAAACGGTAGTTTTGGAAAAAAAAAACGTGAATTTTTATTAACGTACTTTAATTCTTATAGTTGTCAGTTGTATCAGTGTATCATTTTTGACGTCTGTTGGGTTATGATCATCGTTCTTTATTTGAGTCAAAAATATACTGCAACAATGGGTTAGTGCTGACGTACAAAGCTGAAATATACACAATGTTCATAACACACTTATAAAATTTGACAACAATCAGTCCGGTAGTTTCGAAGAATATCTGTTTAATAAAAATCGACATAGACAGACGGACGGAAATGGGAGAAGGGCCGGGACGAGGGTGAGGCGAGAGAGGCACTCGCCTCGGATGAATAAATTAGAGGGGCGCCCAATTGTCAAAAATATAAAGTGAAAGGGGTACTGGACGTTTTGACTTCACAACTCAAATGGAGGTATAAAAAATAGAATGAAATATCTTCCAATTTTCAGTTTCTTACTGACGAAAAATTAGTATCATTGTATATAGAAGATTTAAGAAAAGCAGCTTACGACTTAGCTCTTAAATATCCAAATGATATAAATGCTGTAGAAATATCATCAGAAATATTTAGCTTTAAGAACCAAGCAATTGCAATAATTCCGGATATTAGAGCAGCTATAGCTTTGGATCTTTTGAAAATAATTCACGAATACGGTTTAGTTCAATTGTATCCAAATTTGGAAGTCGTGTTAAGAATATTTTTAACTTTACCAGTTACTGTAGCTTCTGGAAAAAGAAACTTCAGTAAACTCAAGATAAGTAAAAGTTATTTAAGACCTTCTCTTGGTCAGGAAAAATTGTCAAACATGGCTATTTTTTCCAGTGGACAAGAATTATCTAATCCAATAGATTTTGAAAAAATCATTTATGTTTTTGCTTCATTAAAAGCAAAAAAAAAAAATCAGTTGTACAATTTTTGGAAGTAATATAGGGGCGTATTTTTTATTGAATATTACTCCTATTAAGTATTATTTACAAATTTTTCTATGTAATTTGCTATTATGAATTATATTGTATGTTTTTTTAACTTTTGATTCTGTTATCTGTTTATTTCTGATAACTTAAAATCAATAAATCCATTTAATTTTTCATGTTTATGGACATTTTTCAATTACAATTCTGGTTTTCTGTCCAGAAATTCAGAACACAGATCATCTGTAACGTATAGGTAAGTAGGTAAATATCTCGCAAACATGGGGGCGCGGATTTGGCTATCTGCCTCAGGTGAAAAAATATGTAGGCACGGCCCTGGGGAGACTTATCGTTTTGTGTTCAAGTTGGCGTTCACGATTCTCTCCTGAAATATTTGTCCTTATTGTCCTCTTTTTCTTGAAAATAGCTCTTACGAAAGCAGGATAAACTTTGAAACCGTTTTCAAAATTGACACCGAAAAACATCAATCTGTTAAGATCGATTTATAAATTTGCCGCTGACGTTGACGTTGCCGTTGAAAGTTGGCACGTCGTTGGAGTGACGTTCGAGAAGACCGACTTTTAACTTTCGCTGTTACGTTGCAGTTGACGTTGGGTTTTCAACCAATCAAATTGCGGTAGTGTGCAGTGCTGCAAACTTCAAGGAAAATCTTTCATTTTCTAGACTGTAGCTTTCCGTCAATACTTATGCATTGTTAAAGATAGTTATCGACGTTTAAATCAACAAGATTTATTCCTATTCATCTCAAAAACAGGTTTTGCTCTTTTTTCTTAGTATGTGTAGTGTAGTTTTCTTTTCACAACAAGAAAGGTAAAACATGTTTAAAATGGTAAATTTTTGTAGGAAAGTATCGATTTTGCAATTAGGATCCGCCCATCAGTCTGACAACGAATGAAAAATTCATCCCAATTGAGCTTGGGATGGATATGGGTGGGGCTTAATTTTTGGCTTGTTTTTTTCTTTATACACTTAGTATTCTTTGAACAACACGATACTCGAAAACATGTTTTTTATTTCTCGTAGAAGAACAAGGTTTTGACAATTAAGCTCCACCCCTCGGCTCACGACGAATAAAAAAATCATCACAATTGCGATAGGGTGGGTGGGCGGGGCTTATATTTTGCATTTTTTGTCTTAATATACATAGCCATCTTTTCACAACAAGAAACTTAAAACATGGTTAAAATGGTACATTTTTGCAAGGAAATATGGATTCTGCAATTATGGGGCGGAGCCTCATTGCAAAATCAATATCTTACACAAATTTTCCATTTTAAACATGTTTTAAGTTTCTTGTTGCGAAAAGAAGTCTACATACATATATTCAAATGAAAAGGCAAAGTGTAACCCCGCCCACCCACCCTACCTCAATTGTGATGATTTTTTTATTCGCTGAAAACCAAACTTAACTACAAAATACTTATTTCTCTACAATAAATAAAAACATGTTTTTGAGTATCGTCTTGTACAAGGAATACCATGTATATTAAGAAAAAAAGGCAAAATATAAACCCCGCCCACCCACCCCATCTCAATTGTGATGATTTTTTTAATTTTTAGAAACTTAAAACACGTTTAAAATGGTAAATTTTTGTAATGAGATATGGATTTTGCTATTAGGCTCTGCCCCTAGGTCTGTCGACGAATGAAAACTTCATTACTATTTAGATCAGGATAGGTATGGCTGGGGCTTAATCTTTGGCTTTAATTTTTTCTTATTACACATACTATTTTTTGAATAACACGATACTCAAAAACATGTCTTACACGGTACTTTCTTGTAGAGAAATAATAAGGACTTTGCAATTAAATTCCGCTCGTTTGGCTCTCACGATTAAAAAAAAAAATCATCACAATTGAGATAGGGCGAGTGGGCGGGGCTTATATTTTACCTTTTTTCCTTAATATACTTATATTGTTGTCGTAGTCGTCTTTTCAGAACAAGAACCTTACAACGTGTTTAAAATGGTAAATTCTTGTTAGCAAATATGGATCTTGCAATTAAGCCCCGCCCCTCGATCTGACAACGAATGAAAAATTCATTATTATTGAGATCGGGGCGGGTATGGGTGGGGTCTAATCTTTGACTTTATTTTTTTTTCTTAATATACGTTGCGGCCTTCCAAAAGTACACGATAATTTTCTGGATTGTAAATGTATGTATTATTTTTATCATGGGCGTTCGAATAACAAAGTTTGTCAAATTTGACATTTTGTTTATTCAAAAATGCTACGCCACTGGTAATAGCCACACTTACATTAATTTAAAAATTCAAAAAATTCTATGACAACGAAAAATCGTGCACTTTTGGGGGGCCGCAACTGTACATTCTTTAAACAACACGATACTCAAAAACATGTTTTTAATTTCTCGTAGAGAAATAAGGATTTTGCAGTTAAGCTCCGTCCTCTTGGCTCACGACGAATAAAAAAAAATCATTACAATAGAGATAGGGCGGGTGGGCGGGGCTACAATTTGCCTTTTTTTTTAATATGCATAGACTTATTTCGACAACAAAAAACTTAAAACATGTCTAAAATGGTATATTTTTGTAGTAATCAACTTAAATCCTCCAGTTTTCTTCTACAATCTTTTTAAATACGGCAAAAGTTGAACATCAAAGTTACTATCAACGGCAATTTGGCAACGGAGTTTATAAATGACAATTTTCAGCTCTAAAAGCAACGTCAGCGGGGACAGCAACTGCAACGGAAACTTCAACATCAACAGTAAGTTTATAAATCCCACTTTAACATTGTGTACACGGAAAAACGCAACCCAAAATGTTAAGCCCTCCAAAAAAATGATGACGTCATACCAAAACTGTGTTAAGAAAATCTGACTTAAAATGTTGCAAAATATTATGCTACCATACCTGTGACTTATTTTTAACCTTATATTATGAGATTTAAAACAAAAAAGTGATCCAAGATTATTTAAATAGAATTACAACAAATCCCGCTTTATGATAACCTCTATACATTAAAACAAATATAGATAATATCAGTAACAGTGTAAGAAACTTAACGACACTCTATAATTTTTTTGTATGTTTGTCTACGTCCAACTTTGTACTTCCCATCGAGCGACTGGCCACTTTCATGTGTTGTCGACGTTTCATGACCCTAAGTGTACAAAAAAGTGGTCTCCGGTTTCCGTCTGTCTGTCGTCAATTTTCGAAATTACTGGACCGATTGTTGTCATAAATGTTACGAATATTTTGTAGATAATACAACACTAACCAAAATTTGGGTGATCAATCTCACCAACAATTTGATGGCGTCATCTCAAAAATTATTTAAATGTTATGCACTAATATACTCCTACACTTGTGGTTTATGAATCCGCATTGAGTTTTAATCACAATTACTTTACAAAAATGTTGGACTAATTTTTTAGAGATTCTTGTAAAGCTTGTTTTTCTGAATTCATTAATATTGCATATCTTAATCACCCATACTTCGCCACTGCCTTTGATTCGCGCGCATAATGTTACGGAAACACACACTGTCAACTTGTTTATATTTAATTTGGAGTTATGATAGGAAACACATTAATAATTGCTTCAAAATATGAATACATTGATAAAACGCAAAGCTATGCCTGTATTTCTAGTGAGTTTTCAGAGGACCTGTCAACTGCGACACGTGCAATGTAATACCGAGAGATCGAAAAAGAAATTAGTCAAAGTTGGCCATGCACGAAAAGCCCTCTATCTAGTTTAAAATATTTTTTTATTAAACGTCACGTTGACGAAAGTAATTTGAAATTATCAAACGAAATTAAAGCTTTTTTGTTAGAATCTTACTTCAGAAATGGGACAAAAGTGGAAAACGGTGATTTTGATTCATTTTTATGTGTTTTAAAAGTAGTGTCAATTTGACATTTAATAAAAAAAAAATTAATTACGACAAACGGCTTGTCGTGCATGGCCAACTCTGACTAATTTCTTTTTCGATTTCGCGGTACTAACAATAAAATAATGGAGTGTACCGTTCTTGATTTGATCAATAAAAAGTAGGTCTGAAATCGCATATTGTAGAAGCTCCGATTTCACTAGTGAAAAAGGTTCCTATAACTTCGATTTTTTTTGTGAAAATTTGGCAAAAACCACAAGTCGGATTCATAAACCACAAGTAGAGGAGTGCGTTATTTTATAAAATTTAAATTCTACTTACTACTAAACATTTTGCGGGGACGTCATTACATTGTTAGTTGGGCTGATTAGTCGCTCTAAAATTTTTCACACGCTTTAAAATAAAATTGATGAATAGAATCCACTTATTCATTCCTTTCAAAAATTTAATGAAGTCATCTCAAAATTTTGATAAGTAAATTTCTCTTGAAATTTGTAGCGCGACATGTTCCTTAATTTCTGGTTTAATAATGCATTAATTTTTTAAAATTGTTTATTATGGATATATAAAAAAGTGAATAAAGGAATTAATTTTATTGTTTATTTAAATCAAAAACAGTTCACCTAATTTTCCTGAAATTCTGTTGTTAATGTTACATGGTTCACAAAAAAAAAAAAAAAAAATACAGAATCAAATTGTACAATTTGTGTAAGCGACTGAACTTGGATTGTCTTTTAGGGGCGAAGAAAGTTATGTCTAAATAACTTTAGACTATTTTTTTGTGTACTACTTCGAATTTTAAGCTGAGCTATGATATCCACCTAAGGATTAATAAAAAAAATATTTTTTAGTTTTTCCTCAATAAATAACCGTACTTATTGAAAAATCTATCACTTCACTAGTAGTTGAACAAATTAGTGCAAATTGGGAGACAGCACAAGGGCACACGCCTCCCCCAAAATTACGTCTACAAACACACTGGACAAAGCAAAATAGTAATTTTCAATATTTAAAAAATTATTCGGAAATTTGTGTCATAATTATCAAAACTAATTTTTTTATTTCGCTCCACTTGTATAAAATGTATCAAAACTTATTGCTGATAAAAGCGGAGACCAAATCATAGTTCATTTAGACGTTTTGTTTACACTGTTGCCATGGAAACCGTGCGTCTAGTCGCGGTATTGGGCTGAAATCGGGTCTTGTTCCACCAGTGCGCACCAGCAGTAACTCAACTGCTGGTTTCAATTTTGAATATTTAATAAAAAATCGTCCTCTGTGTCAAGACGGTAAATTTTAGTGAACAATTTTAGGGGGAGCTACCTCCGATTTATTAATAAAAAAAGTGTCCATGGCAAAACGAGAGACTTTTATAGATATTTTAATAGACGTAATACGTATGATAAATATTCGTGGACGTATGGTTGTAAAAAAAAAAATGTTTCGCTTTGTGTGTCCCCTCAGTGATAAGTTAAAACCACCGCCCTGGATTATATTGGTAATAACAACCTGTTTTATATCTTCATATTTAAATTATCAATCAAATTGTGTCCCCCCATACATACAAAAATCAAAATATCAATTTTGTATAGGTATAAAAAATGGCGGCGAGCTGGAATACCATTTTCTTTGTACTTACGTGCTGACCATACAATACATTTAATATTTCCCACAATGTAGTAATTGTTAAAATAATAATTGCGTTTTAATATTTTCTGATCTGTTGAAATGGTACTACAAAAATGTCCATTTATAGTTTTTTCTATTCAGACGTCGCTAGCAAACAAAATCTAACACTGTCTTTACCTACCATATTATACAAGTGTTATCTGCTCCACCTCGCTCATATTGGGTATAAATAACATTAATAACTCATTTATCCTTCTATCCCTTTGGATGTCCTAACCCGTACTAGCAAGACCAATTCCAATTTACAACCCCCCACTATACCACTCACCTCATCATAAAAAATAATCGCATGTCTCGCTGATATATTATTGCAGTGCCCAAACCTCTCCAAATCCACATCATTACTCGACCCTTTCCCCACATTCAAAATCCTGTACCTCATCGCCACGGCTTCCGGATATCGAGCAGATACAGTTGGTCTGAACCCCAAAAAACTATCGTCGTGCCGCACATCATTAGGACTCACTTCTGACGTTCGGACGTTGTAGAAATGGGGTGAAACCACAGGGCACATCATGGCTCGCGCTCGTAACGACGACTTCGGTTTATTCTTTTTTTTGGGGCTTGAAAACACGCGCGATATTCTTTCGATGTCTGCTGGTGTCAGAAGTTCGCTTGGCATAGGCATGTGGCGTAATTTGTTCTGAAGGGTCGATGAAATGTACAGGTTCAAGTTGTTTGAATTATGCGGCGATTGGTTCAGGATGTGCTGAATGCGCTGATATGCTAGTAGCTTGAGGAGGCGTTCGTCGAGCTGTTTTAGTTCGAGTTCAACTGAAAAACAGTTAGTGGTCAGAGTTTGAAGTGTCAATTTATTTATTTTTTGACGGATTTTGTGCCTACTTGATTGCAAAAAAATATTTCAATGACAGCAGTGCAGGGAACTATCCTACATAAAAAACTCTAAAAGGGAATTATATCAATCTTTTAATCCTGATTTATTTTGATTTGTGATGGGGTTTTTTTTAATTACAAGTCGGAGAATACGAAAATATCAGTCTCTCTTTTGTCTGTTTGTCTTAAAAAACAAAGAATGTATTTAGGTATCACATCATTAAGCTTTAACATTGTAGTAATCAACAGCATCAGTCATAATGTATCTCAAATAAACTTAAAATTAATAACGTAAAGTACTTAAAATTTATTTGGTTGTTAATTGTGCCATAAAAATGTTTTTGGGTGAAATTTATTAGTAAAATAAAAAAACATTTTGTTTATTTTAACCGCTAAAATTACTTTTAAATATATCAAACGTGTTTTAAATTACTTTTAATTTGTTAGTCCAGTGAAAATTGATTTTAATTTCATTCATAACATAAATTAGTCTATCGTCACATGAACATAATAGTGACTTTCTTTTTGACACCAAAAAATAAGATGGTGCACCGTCACTCCATGCTTTGTTTTACTGTTGCTCGCCTACTAGACTTTGGATAACACGATTTCAAAAGCACTGCTGCCAGTGTGACAGGACCAAATTTACTAAAAACTCACCTTCACTTGTTATGTCGGATACAACATCTGGCAAAAAATTATTGTCTTTTTGATCAATTGTGGCGCCATTTACCACCTCACTTTTAATACAGCCATTTCTATGCATAAAATCCTCTTTACACCCTTCATCTACATCCTCTTCTCTTTGAGTATTATCATCTGAGCTACTTTTATCACAAATCTGGTCTTCAGAACCATTACACAAACTACTACTCTCACTTTGTACTTGATTGCTTTCCTCGATTTTTAACACATCCACTTCACCATTAATTTTTTCCCTATTCAAAACATACTCTAATCTTAGTACATCCTTTAAACTAGGCAAAAGCTGTACAGGTTTCTGGTAATGATACTTAACCATCGTTGGTACTTTCACTCTATTTCTGGGTGGTAACTTGACTTTTATTCGAAAGGGGGGATTTTTACAATGGATTTTTCTAAAAAATTCTAACCTGACGGCATCTTGATCGACAGGTCCACTGAACTTATCCCACAATTTAATTCGTTCCGTTGCTGATATCGACGTAAGTAATTTAGAATCCTATGAGCAAAATCAATGAGGGAAACTTGGCTAAAAACAACACTTACAAGATAGTGCTCGACGTGATTTGGACACATCCAGCGTCCGCTAGGCGGCGACGTTAATGGCGGATCGAGACAATCCATATGAAAAAATAAGGGGCAAAAATCACATGAAATTAAAGGGGCTATTCGGCACGATTTCCGGCATTCGTTACACTTTTTCGCTGGCAGAAGAATAGTGGTGTCTTGTTTTTTTTCATGGTCTTTGTGAATTTTTAAATTCCTGCGACCATTGCGGGAGTAGGGAGCTTCCACTGCAACGTCATTAACACTAACTGCGTGCGTTTTATATCAAAGTACCTTTATCAGTCCCTGGGAAAATACAAGGAACGCTCATACTCCTCGGTAAGTCAAATTGTTTCGGATTCATCGAATTGGCAGCTTGAATCAACAAATCCATAGGACTCAGTTTAATTTTTTTGGGGGCTGTTTTTCCTGCTGGAGTCGATGCCGATCGCTTATTCCTAGTTTGTGGTGCATTGTTACTTTTCGTGTATTTACAACTGTGGCACAACCATTCTCCTGTCGGAATATCTTTTTCTTCTAAAGGGGGGTCACTGCAACTCGGGCTCTAGTAAAACTAATTGAAAGTGGAACTAACATACTGGCACTGCAAGTGAAAACTTGAAGGACACTTGTCACAACAAATCAAATCTCCTCCTTCACCACATGCATCACAACTGTCGTGGTTATGCCCTTTACCAGGTCGCTTAAAGTACGGATGTTCAGTTGACGGTTTTCTCGTTTTGACTTCTTCAGATTGTGGGGGCGCAATAAGGGCTTGGATTTGCTAAAAACCATTGCATCAAACAAAGAAAGTGGCAAAATCCGCCATTTTATAGAGTTGAGACTTACATCCATGAGGCCCCCAGAAGTATCTAAATCATATTCAATTGAAGTCATCGTGGGGTCTGTTTCGCCTCGCTCCGTACCCAAAAGGAGCGATTTTGGACACAACCAAATTTTTTTCTCTGTGTGTTACATGATTGATTTTCTTTAAACCTCGAAAACTTCACTAAAACTATAACACTTATTCACTTCTACGTGACAATGTGGGTAAAACAATTGAATAATTTAGATAAATTCATTAATTACACTTGAATTTTTATACTTATTTATGAAAGTTTGTCAATTTTTTTGACAGCATTTACCGCGATCTGTCAGTTTGACGTTTGACACGTTTGAAGTTACCAACTGCGTCCGACGAATCGCTAACTTACAAATTGGCGCCAAAAATTAAACGCACGTCAATGCATTCATAATGTATTGATTAATATATTTCCCTCAAAATAGGGTTAATACAGTAAAATTATGAAACATTGGCAAGAGTTCCCATGGGGTCCCACGCCGGCAGGACGATAGGTTCTTGTTTAAAAACATCGAGGACATCCAGAGGAATATACTTCTTATCGACTACAACTTCAAATACGTATTCTTTGAACCATTCGGTGCTCATTATCAAATAGCCTTTTTCGCCGCGGTCTTCGCCCCAGGAGTTCTCGACACGCAGCTTCGTCACGGTACCCTGCTCCTGTTAAAAAAAGACATACTTAATCATTGAGGTTACAAAATAATCATTTCAAAATGTTTAATAAAAATTTGGTTAATTTTATCTTAAAAATGATATTGTTTATATTGCACATTTAAACCAAGTAATAAAGTGGTGCTTTTATTTTCTATTATTACTATTATTTAATTGAAGTAAAGTTAAATAAAAATAAGTAGAATTAAGGACGTCAAGCGCTTAAATTTTGTACCCTTTTTGTTTAGATTCAAGAACTACTTTAATGTGTTAGTATTTTTTTTTAAAGATCAAAAATATTATTATTCTGTGCTTGTGTAAACCGGGTTTTAGTGAAGTTTATTTAGTGAATACATTGTAAACATTACAAATTTCAATCATGTCATCAGTCATGGCCAACTGCTGCAAAAATGTGACACAAATATTGCCGCATTCGGAAAATTTGTAACAATAATTTTGTGTAAAACTTAGTCACATTAGTTTTCTAAATTACATGACTTTTTTAATATTATTTAAATGTTTGTAAAGTCTTGTGCATTTTTTCGAAATTTCAGCGAGGTGGCTTTGTATGCAGTCATGTGCCAAACATTTTGACATAAGTCAATTTATTTATGTGACATTTATAAGTTATGGTTGCTTACGCGTTTTACGAACTTTAAGCAATCTAATTAATGCGTAAAAACTTTATTGTTTTATTTTATTTTAAAAAATTGTTCCAAGTTCCTATTTTTTGTGGAATGCTCCATTTCATCTTGGTTGGCGAAAATCTTTGACATTTGTATGACATTTCTTAATTGTTTATTGTTTCAATGTTCTGGGTGTGCATATATTGTTGTGTAGACACAGTGTATAGTGATAATATAACTAGGAGTGCAAGATTAATATACAATACTATAAGAAAATAAATAAAGTGACATCCCAGAAACTTACATCTAAACTGACAGCCGTGAAGACCATAGCATGAGACATGGCACTATCTCCATAAATCAACCGATCAGCTTTACTCATCGTCGCTTGAATATCCACTCCGAAAACAAGTGGAAAATTGTGAACTTGTAAGTCTAAAATTCCTTGCTTTCCAGCAAAGCGCTTCATAACCTCACAACCGAACCATACAGCTTCACCATCCTTAATAGACTTGGCCGTTGCTTCTAGTAATAACTCGACTGGTTGATTATTGTATATACAAGCTCGGCCTCCTACTACATTTCCCAGACAATCGACAGTGTACACTTTGCCATACTCATTCGAAGGTCTAGGATCGGTAACTATGCATACTTTGTTATCAACATCAAAAACTGGCTTGACGTGTTCTTCATAAAAAGCTTTGGGTGTAATAGGGCCGATGCTATGGTAAGTCTTATTTTTATCATAATAATTAAAAGTAAAAGTTTCGTTGGGTACTCCTAAGCAGATTCCAACAATACGATAAATATTATTCATCTGCTCTCGAATCATGTTTTGTACTTTTAAGTCGCCTTCACCTTTAGAGATAAGGTCGCGGATTACTTTCGCATATTCTCGTAGCTGAAAGGGTTCATGATTTACTGAAAAAATTATGTTACTTGCTTACTTTAGTCTTGAGAATTTGGTTCATTTTTGCGCTGGATTCGCAACTGAATGACTCTGGGAAACACTTTTTCGGTATCAAACCGTGTTTGTTGATTAAGTTACCGACCATGTCCCACTGACCACCGTCTGAAATGGGATCCTGAAAATCGAAATTAATAAAAATTTTATCACTTAAACAAAACACGTACGTTTAGCAAGAATGAGACGAGTCGTCCATCCACGCTCTCACCCCTTTTCGCCGTCTCCACGATATTATTCAAGAAAAAGTTACACCTCTCGATTTTATCCCAAAAGAACAAATAAGCTTGTGAAAATTCAAAGTCGTCGATGTTGAGGTGCTTCATGAAAGGTAGTCGAATTACGTTCAAAGTCGCAAATATCCAGCAGCGCCCTGAATTCTTTTGGTTACTGACAGGTTTAGCCTCACTTTCCACTTTGTACTCATACACATGGTGCGTTTCTTCGAGGGTTTTTCGAGACAGACACACCTCGAAGGGGTCGACCCGTGAACAAACATTTTGTGCGAAAATGTTTTTGTCGTCGGAGTAGAAATTTTGGCGGAACTGATCAAGAATTTCTTTGTTGAGGGCTGCAAGACACATATTATGTTTTTTAAACAAATGGTTTTTGCAGTGGGAAGCGGTGCAAAAGAGGAGAATTTTTGAGGAAACGAATGTTTGTCGAAAAAATGTAGAGTAAATAATAAAATCCAGGTTTGCTTTGTGACAAGGGATTGTGCAAAAACCCAAAATAAACAATGACTTGAAAGTTATGACTTGTCAAAATACTTAACACAGAGAATTTAGAAATTATGGAGGATTATTGTAATTATTGCGAAATTGATTAAATTATGTCATTAAATGATATGTGCTTACTTGGGTCCATCTTTTTTTATTATTTTTTGTAATTAAATGCAAAAACACTTCTTCCTTTTTGGAACACGCAAACGTCACCTGTCACGAACGTTAACTGTCAAAACAACAGGCGAGCCAACATGAATTTAAACACTATTTAAACACAGAATATTTAAAACTAGCCAAGCAAAATTTGTGTAAAGTAGGCAACCAGGCACTTTACAACGCCCAAAAAGACACCTCTGAAAAAATCCATGATGTCATCGTCAACGATAATTAACAATATTGATTTACTGATATCATATGGCATTAATAAAAGCTGATTTACCTATTCATCTTCTTTATAAAATATATCTTGGAAAAGATGTTCTTAATATTTTTATAAAGTTTATTGATTCTGTTTTAAAATTTTGTAATGAAGTGGAGAACGTAAATTGTTTTCAAATTACTATTTTATAATGCTAAAGCTTCGAGACCTAAATTTTTTACATATCCATACCTACATAGTTTGTTATAAATTATAACCCGATTATAAAAATTTAATTCTAAAATATATAGCTGTCAGTGACTATAACAATTTTATATTTAACAAACTGAGTCTTTTAAACTACTTAATCATCTCACTTATAATTGAGAAAACGCGAACTGTATTAAAATTTGTTTTTAATTAAAATATTTTACTTCATAATTATACGATAACAAAATCAGTTTTAGCGGAGATAAATTAATGTATTAATTTATTTAGTGATAAATATTGAAATATTGAGTAACTTTTTTTAGATATCCAAAATTAAAAGATTAATACCAAAGCCAGTGATTGAAACAATTACTTTTTGCACTTTGAAAAATTTGATAAAGACACAATTTTAGATATTTGTTGTATGGGTCCAAAGGGTCAAGAAAAAACATGTTAGAATGAAAAAGGCAACGAGTGATTTATTTTACTAACGCATTTGTTACATATTCACATCAGTGAATAAAATAAAACAAATGAATACTTTACGCAAGAGGACTATACTATAATTTAAAGTTTGTTTGACCACAAATTTTAAATATTCTGCCCCTGTTTACTCAATTATTTATTAAGATATTTTATTCCTGTAAAGCGCAATGGATTTTTTAATACAATTTCTACTAACTGACCTTTTTGAAAATTAAAAATTGATGCATAAATATGGAAAACCAGATAATCTCATACTCATCACAATTTTAACGCGTTGTAGTTTTTTTTTGACAACAAAATTTAAAAAACGAAAAAGCAGTCTGGGTAGGGTTTTTTACTCTTATTTCAAGGGTGTGAAGTTTATTACAATCGGACGTATACTTTTGGCAAAAACTTGGGCAGAAGTTTATATGTATTTCCCCTATGGTGGAATATGTTTCTTTGTGGGGACGAACCAGGTATAATAATCCAAGCAGGCCAGGTAAACGATTCGTAGAGAAAAACAAAACAATATTTTTGAGTTTTTGGGTTAAAAGTAATTGCAAAAAGTAATTGAATTGCTAACTCCAGAAAGGGGACATGTCCCATTTTTTACCACAATAACATTCGTACATAATCGTGTTCTAGAGGTCTAAACACATCTTTACTGCAAAAACGGGCCATGTTTAATGATTTAGCTCGGGGCTACAAGCGGATGAAATTTACGGTTACAGCAGAAAAGGGATATGTCCAGGAGATATCGACTTTCTGCAGTAAACACCGTGGTCTCAACGTCTTGCGTTATTCTTATCCAACACGACACTCAAAAACATGTCTTACATGGTAATTTCTTGTAGAGAAGTAAGAATTTTGCAATTAAGCTACGCCCTCTTGGCTCACGACGAATAAAAAAATCATCACAATTGAGATAGGGTGGGTGGGCGGGGCTTATATTTTGCCCTTTTTGCTTAATCTCTTCTCTTCTCGCAGTCATCTCTTCACAACAAAAATTTAAAACATGTTTAAAATGGTAAATTTTTGTAGGGAAATATAGATTTTTCAGTGACGCTTCACTCCTCGGCCTGGAAACGAATGAAAAATTCATCATTAAACTAAGCCCCACCCACACCTGTCGCGAACTCAATAGTGGAGAAATTTTCATTTGTTGCCAGACTGGGGGGCGGAGCATAATTGCAAAATTCGTAGTTCCTACAAAAATTTACCGTTTTAAACATGTTTTAAATTTTTGTTGTGAGAAGATGACTACGTGTATTAAGTGCAAAATTAGTATAATAACTAGCCATCAGCCAGAAGAAAATGACGGATATAACAAACACTTTACGATTTATCCCAGACGCTTATAACGCATTTTGGCAGGAGATTGCTACTTGGCCAACTGTAGAACAGGAGCGCGATAATGATTAAGTTTTTTAGTCAGATATACATATAACATGTTTGTGTAAAATTATAACTGAAATAAAGCTGTTTTTTGTGTTTTTTTTTACCTTTTTTTTTCATTTTACTGCAAAAAGGGGATATGTCCAAGTGTCAAATTTGACAGACAAATTGACCCAAAAAAGAAAACATGCATTTAGCCAACACTCGTTGATAACTGAGAACATAGAGAACCGACAATTGAAAACGGGGATCGGAAACAAGTAGTTGTAAAAATCTGAGACGTTTTATTCATTTCCTCAACATTTTGAAAAATGTGATATATCCCCTTTCTGCAATTGTAAAAGTGACTGAATTACTCAAATAAAATAATTCGTTACAATTACTCATTACTTGAAAAGGAATTCAATTACAGTAATGATTACTTCCAACCACTGACCAAAGCACACATATATATCATATTTCAGGACTAGACTCTCGAGGGGTGTACTTTTTCTTTAGATGATGTCATTCATTTATTTTTTTTTAACACTTCTGTAAACTATACGAAAAATGAATACTTCATAGTACTGAAGTGTATCTTTTAATAAAATTTATATACCTAATAATTTTTTTTTAATAATGGCAACAACTTTCTTGACTGACCTGACTTGATCAGCTCGACTGTGAAATTTGCAGGCAAAAGACCATTTATTAAGCTGTATATTAAAAAAATAATAACAATATTTGCAAAAGTTCACTACTCACGAGCGCGGGCATAACAGACTTTGGTCTCTGCCCGACCGCAGAATTTAATAATAATAATAATAATAATATTGTGATAAGTATACAATTTTTGTCAGAGTTTTATTATTTTCATGACAATCCTGAAGTGCACCCAAAATTTCAGAATAATTGTTTGGGTAGTACATATTGGAAATTATTTGTCTATAAGACCATTAACAGACAACGAGAAAAAATGTTCCGAAATTAAGTGGAAAAAAAGAGTGCGTCGACCCAGGGACGCACGGATGGAGTTTTAAATCTGCGTTGTCAATTTATATAAATTAAACAGGTGTACGCGGCAAAGTGATTAATTTTCTCTTAAAAAATAATAAAACCAAAAATATGTTGCATTTGTATTTTGTACGGCTCGTACGGGATGGGAATTCATTGCAGTTACGGGCTGCACTTCGTTTATTTGAGAATAGAATAACGTTGCTTCGTTGCACTCCGCCGTTTAACTAATTACGTTTTCGTTAATTGTATTTATGGAATAAATGACAATTAAATTTAGTGATTATCACTTTCTACTGAGTCCCGGAGATCCAGCGCGTCATGACTACATTTGATGTGGCGGCACAATAATAGCTGGGTGAGCGAAGTAAACATCAGTCGCTCTGTAACCTAGTGGTCAAGGCACCTGCCCGGCAAGCGGGATATGTGCGGTTCGATTCCGCACCCGGAGCAGCAAACATTTTTTCTTCATTTACTTACAGTGGTGAGCTCCGACGTGTTTGTCTTCGCGTACCTACACATCACACCAGTTTATCTCTATCTCTTTCTATAGCGCGGCGTTACATACCTATGTTCATTCTCAGTTCAGACTGGTGTCGGTGTCGATACGGAAAAGCGTTAGCTCGTAGCGTGAACTCGACATCCTATTCCGGCGCGCGTCGTATACGTGTTCTATAATACGAAAAGAAGGGAGTTAAAACTCCAACAATAAATAATTTAATACTGGCAATGCAGTAGCTCAGTTATTGCGTGCCTTCGAAGTTGTAACTATTTTATGTGCTAATTACACTCTGTACAGACAACGTCAGTAACCTGCTATTTTGATTATATGACCTTTTAACATGTTCACACGAATGTTAACTAAAATTGTGTTAAAACATTTACATAAAGGTACATGTAGGTACATTATCATCATTAAATATAGACGATGTTAAGTGGTGTCAACACAGCTCGGAGATACATGAATTAAAAATACACCTATTTAAAGTATCAAGTAAATGTGGAGGTTGTCGACCAACAACATAACTAAATAATGAAAATATCAAAAACACTTTTTAGAGAGAGAAGAGTTAAATAATAATCGTTACCATAAACAGCAGTTTATTATAGAAAACATAGGACGCACAGGCAGAGTGACGGACTGGGAAATCTGTATTTTCGAATTCTATGATTCGTGAAACGTTAAGAAAACATTTGTTATTTGTTGCACTATACCAGCCTATTTTAGTTGTTGTTAACTTGAGTGTTATTCCCTTTTTAAGGGATTTTTTACCCACAGAAAGAGAGAAAGGCAAATTTTATTTTGTATACTCGAAGTTCAGTCTCTGGGAAGATTCGAAGATTCTGTGACTCGAAGAGTTGACTACAATCGTCATTCAAGGTAGGTAAGTAAAACACATTTTCATTTCAAAAGTGTACGGTGTTACATTTTATTGTTGGTTCTTTTTTTTATTATGAACATTTTATTTGGTTTCTTTTCTGTCTTATTGCGACGCGTGTTTCGATATCATAGCCATCTTCCGGCTATAACTTGTGGAACTTATATTATGTAAGCTGAAATACGTGTCGCAATAAGAGAGAAAAGCAACCAATAAACATTTTGTAAGGCAATAAAAAAAGAACCACCTCATTTAATAATTTATACAAACGAACAGGATCGAGAATGTATATCTGAAAAAAATATCACTCGACCTATCTGTCTTTCAGGCATCAACGTGGAGGAAGGAATGTAATTAATTCATTTAGTTATAATATTCGTTCTTCCATGGGCAGCAACACTTCAAACAATCTTCAGAAAGTTAGGTTTTGATT